AAGCGCGCATCGGCGCACGACCTACTGAAGGTACTTACTCATTCCTCCCATTGCTTTCGCAGCGGTAACTGACACCTTGCCTTTTAGCACCCATTCATGTCTCTCTGCGCACCACTATCGCATCTCGCCCCCTTGGTCAAGGCTGCTCGTCTCAGCCGAGCCCAAGAAAAAGCCCAAAAAGGAGGTGCTTGAAAAGGATGCTGATGAATGACCACTTTTTTTCCCCCTATGTTTCGGTTTTATTTCGTCGTACTTGATATCTCTTGACGTCTTGCTCAGATACCCCGTCACTCCCGATGTTTCTTCTAGATCCCGACGTGCACTACAGTACGTTGTTGGAATCCGTTTATGTACCCAGTCTACTCCTTTTATTCACTTTTTTTACATCGATTGTCGATGAAAATGACTCCATTGCACGAGCATATTGCCTGTGATATCTGCTTTGCTACTCACTGCTGTATTGATGTCTATGTAATTTCTTGTAGTTCTATTTGCCAATGTTACCGTTGTTAGCTTATGATACAAGCAATTAATGGACTTTGTATCTCTTATCCCATTCGTTAGAAGTATGCCTAGTTAGGTGTACTCCATAGTGGAGTGGAGGTTCGTTCAGCCACCGATAAGAAAAGGTATGAGGAAACGCAGCAGCCTATATGGGTAGGGCAAAGTCCTAGAGTAAATAGGAAAAATCGAAAAGAGTAGAAAAAGAAAAAATAGAAACCCAATAGGCAGACGTAATAGAGAAAAATCCGGTCAAATTATACAGAAGCTACTAAACTTATTTAGTCTCACACCGTCGTCATATGCTGACTCAGGTGACGAGTTCCGCCCCGTACACAGTACAACACCGTCCCTGATCACCCAAGGACTTGATTAACATATACCCAGCGCTGCAATACCTGTCGCTTCACCATTCCTTCCTAAGGCCCTGTTTCTGTGACATCCACACCGCCCGCATCAACCCGCAGCCTAGCCGCATCCTTTGCTGTCGTCGACTCCCCGCATTCGGTACTGGAGGACCATTACGAGCTACACAACTAGTTTTTGAAAGAGAGCGTGGTGTTCGATACCAAAGCCTAATTGGAACCTATCGCCGAACTTTTGCGACCTGAAAACAAGGCAAGCCACTTGTCAGAAACTGAGCAGTGCTCCCCGACACATCACCCAGTGATTTACCCGCGACGGTTAGAGGAGATACATTCGCGATGTTTCGCGCGCAGCAGAACCACTTCGATGATGCCGTTGGTAAGTTACACTAGTTCTCTGCTTCGTGGATACACTGTGCACCCCTGGGGCTGGCTAGCTTGGAGGGAAACTCATATTGAATCTGCTCATGCGGCTTACTGACGGTATTTCTTTCTGTATAGCCAAGGCGACGGACGAGAATTTGACATCCGAGAACTGGGAATATATTCTGGTGTGTTGTGCATGAATATAGAACTACCGGAATAACCGCGGCCTTGGGGCATGAGAACTGATTCAATATTTGTGGTTTAGGATGTCTGTGACAAAGTTGGTTCAGAGGAGTCAGGGTACGTGTTTGAATCCGAATTCGCCAACGCTCCCCCAAAGACCGTTGCTGATTGTGATTTGCCGTGATATAGTGCGAAAGAGGCCGTGGCTGCGATGATCAAAAGGCTGGCTCACCGAAATGCCAATGTCCAGCTCTATACATTGGAGGTTTGTGGCCAAGTACCCGTGCTCCTGAGAGCGCAAAAAGTCCCCTGGTCTATGACTATAGCTGACTCCGGTTTCTAGCTTGCAAATTCGTTGTCACAAAACTGCGGGCTAAAGATCCATCGCGAGTTGGCTTCGAGGAGCTTTACTGATGCGCTACTACGCCTGGCGAATGATCGTGTAAGTAGATCTGGGACCTTGACTTTCTCCAAATAGCAAACATTAATCATGGATTTGTCTAGAATACGCATCAACAAGTCAAGTCCAAAATTTTGGAGCGCATGGAAGAATGGACTGAGATGTTCGCATCCAACCCGGATTTTGGCATCATGGAACAGGCGTACATGAAATTAAAAACCACGAGTAAGTATCTGTGCGACACCCTAAATATATGACTCCGCTGATTGTATCCAGACCCGAATCTGCAGCCACCCTCGAAACCTGGAAAGCGTGAGATCACCGATGTTGATCGTCAGATGGAGGAAGAGGAATTGCAAATGGCCCTGGCCCTCTCGATTAAGGATAAAGCAGCCCCCGGGGCTGCTGCTGCTGCTGCTGCACCTCGAGCAGAGGCTTCGTCTGCTGCTGCTGCTGCATCCGTGTCGCCTCCCCAAAATCAAGGGGAGCCCGCCGAGCCTCAACCTGCTCTCTTAGGCACATCGGTAGCTACCGTGTCGCGTGTGAGAGCGTTGTTCGACTTCCAACCGTCTGAGCCAGGAGAGCTTCAATTCCGCAAAGGCGATACCATTGCAGTCCTGGAGTCTGTCTACAAGGATTGGTGGAAGGGCTCCTTGAGAGGCCAGACCGGCATTTTCCCTCTCAACTATGTGGAGAAACTCCCGGATCCCACTGTCGATGAGCTGCAGCGGGAGGCTCAAATGGAGGCGGATGTTTTTGGCCAGATCAAGAGTGTTGAGAAGCTCCTAACTCTGCTGAGCACTCGCAATTCAGATCTCAATGTCCAAGAAAACGAAGAGATTACTACGCTCTATCAAGCTACGCTTGCGATTCGTCCAAAATTAATCGAATTGATTGGAAAATACTCGCAAAAGAAAGGTAAACTGCCACTTGTTTGTTTTGCTATTCGATGCCTTGCTGACACATGTCCAGATGAATTCACCCAGCTCAATGAAAAGTTCATCAAAGCTCGTCGCGACTATGAGTCTCTCCTTGAAGCATCGCTAGCCCATCCGGCACAGCCTCAATATGGACGACCTCCCCAGCCACAGTATGGTTACCCTGGTGGTGTGCCTGCCGGGTATCCCTCTGCTCCCCAGGCGGATCCTAGATACTTTACACCCCGGCCTCAAGGTGAGTAGAGTCTACAATTTACCTACCGACTCTCAGTTCTAACTTGACTTGCCTAGACACTACGCCAAACCAGGCGAATGCATACGCACCATACCCCGTCAGCGAGCAGGCTATGCCATACCGCCCAGCCTCTCACTCCCCTGATCCTCGCAACCAGGGTCAGGCCGGCGCACCGCAGCAGTCACCCCACGCCGACCCTTACCAACCTGTTAACCACCGTCCGCAATCTACATACGATCACCCCCAAGAATTGGGGACGTCTGTCTATGATTCACCTGTCGATCACCCTGCTCCTGGCTCTGGCCAGCGCATGCCGTATCCTCCAACTGCTCAAGCCTCGCCTGTTGGCCACCAGCAATTCCAGCAGCAGCAGCAACAACAACAACATCAGCAGCAGCAGCAAGACTACTCGCCCTCGGTCTACTCCGCTGAGGAGACATCTCAGATCCCGCCTGCCTCCACTATGCCCCAAATCCCGCACCAGTTCCAGCAACAACAGCAACAAACCCCGTACCCCAACTCTCCCAGTGCCCACCAACCTCCCCCATCGCACCAGCCTCCGCTGGCACCAGGGGCAGCGCAGCAGCCACAGTATACCTCCTACAGCCCGACACCTCCCGCCGCAAGTACGGGAGAGTACCAGGCGTATCAGCCTCCACAGGGCGGGGCAGCTGGCTCGAATCCAAGTTCCTTTTATCGGTAATTGATAGTTCGTCACGACCGCCCTCATCCGGTTCATATCAATAAATACCTTGACTGTCTTTAATGTTGGCTTTGTATTGTGGCATTTCAAGCAGTATTCGTTTCGTTGCCCCTCCTTTGCTGGACGTCTCCCTGTCATGTATCTAGCCAACGGTTTAAATATGTCATCAATTATATGTTAGTACATATGGGCTTTTGGTCTCCATGTTTCCGTACGCTAGTGCTGTAATTAGGACGTAGCTCCTATGAGCATTCGTGTAGATTCGCTCAACCTTTAAAGACCGAATGCGTCGGTAATGGTAGGGGTCTCCCACTAGCAGTCCTTTATCGCACACGAATCAGGTATACCATTTGCCTGAAAGCAAGATGAGAATGAGCAAGAAATAACCCGGGATAGGAGAGGCAAGACGAAGAAGTGTGAGACAGATGTTACCCCGTGTTAAGTACTTGGCATTGTTTCCTCGTTGGGTATCAACGCTCGATGCTCCCGAGTTGTCTGTGTACCAACTAATGAATCCAAACCAGGAGGGTTGTTATGGATAGGAAGAAGGCTGATGGCATATTGGAATATTTGGTTGATCACAAGTGAGCAACTAAAGCGCTGATGACAATTGAGAAATATATACAATGCGTTTTAGTTTGCTCTAGCTCCTCTAGATATCGAAGACCTTGAGTACGCCCGATGACATCCGATGTGCTTGAACATATGTAATCCGCCACTCTAGATCGTCAATGTCTTATCTCATATTGGCAAAATGCTTGTTTTTAGTTCGAAACTTATTGCGGTTCAGCTTTGGGGCTCAGCTTTGGGGCCAACTATAGAAAGTCTCCCTTGATCAACAAATCAACTGACAGACGTGTTGATCTTGTCCCCCCGGGTTCGGAGAGACTCCAAACCACCTACCTAGTTATAGAATCATACTATAGATGTGGTATGTTGTCCGTATTCACCCTATAGCGGTCGGCTTCACGGATAAATCAGGTAGACTTCAAGGGTAAACTTGAAGTACTAGTTATTAGTCTTTAGCGAGTTCATTGTTTTTAAGGCCATGCAAGGTGAATAACAGTAATCACCCAAATAAAATAGAACTATATCTAAATGTGTGTTAAGCCTTTTCAATCAATGTACTTCAGAAAGCACTTCTATTATAAAGAGCTCTGGATGACCAAGAAAAATCAATATGGTATTCAATCTGTCGGCCATGTGTTCCGAGAATGTCGGATCTCATCCGACAAAATAACAGATGAAAAGTGGTTCGTTTGCTTAAAATGTCTATACCTTCTCTTCGTTGTTCATTACTCTGGTCAAAATGTCTGTCCGTCCTATTCATATTGCTGTACTTGACACCGACATTCCTTGCTACCCTGTCTACGCCAAACGAGGATTATACAGCTCACAATTTAACGTTCTTCTCACTGCCGCCGCAGATCGCATCAATGAAAGCAAATTCCACCAGCATAGAACGTCTCTTGGTGTTCACCTTACTGCATTCGACGTTGTTGGGGGCTCGTTCCCACATCTGGAATCCTTACGAGTCAGCCCTTGGTCGCCGACAGAATATCGACCCCCTGGCTTCCCAGGCCCTGTTGATGCAATTCTGGTCACCGGAGCAGCAGCAGCAGCATATGACACTTTCCACTGGATTGCAGGCTTGCGATCTTTTATTAAGAGAGTGTATGCGGACTATCCCATGGTCAAGATTTTCGGATCTTGCTTTGGACATCAACTTATAGCTCAAGCCCTCATCGCAAGTGAGAAAAGCTATACGTCCCAAGGATCTTCATTTAAGGTGTCCGTTGAGCCATCATCCGGTGGCCATGAAATTGGCATGCACCCTATCATCTTGAACCCGGCTTTTGTCCGCAACTTCCCGCCTCTAGCTCGGTTTACTCCAGAACAGCCATTCCATATTCAGGTCATCCACGGCGATGCCGTCATATCTTCACCAGAAGACAAACTACTTACCGGGGGAAATGGGACTATATTACCTGAACCGTGGCTCAGTATCGGAAGCAGCCTTAAATGTCCCATCCAGGGCCTCTACAAGCCCGGCCACGTTCTCACGTTACAAGGTCATTTTGAATTCGATGCCTTTGCCACTGCCGAGCTCTGCCATAAATTCGCCCAACAGTTTGACTGGCCTGCAGATTTGCTTGCCTCACATCTAGAAAACATCAGGCGCTCGGTGGTGCCTGGCAAAGATGATGATGATGACTCTAAGATAGCGGCGGAGGCGGTCCTTTTGTTTTTCGCGGGGGAGGACATGACTTCGAGCTCAGATATCAATTCATCCTCATGCTGATCGGATTATCCAACCTTGGAAGTGCTTGATTCTCTTCGATTGCGGGGCCATCGGAGGTCCGGGCGAAGTCCCCGCAGCCTCGGGTGAGCACCCGATCCATACAGACGTTTTCGCACTTGTGACCGAAACGTGACTATCAAATCAATATTAATATCATCTGTACGCGGTTCTTTGCAATTATGGTGGGCTCCAATCCACGATCTACCAACGCGTAAGTGTGCAATGCGTCTGGATCTCCAGAGGCTAGCATGATAACAACCGGACAGATGCGAAACATGTCGAAGACGCAAAGTAAAATGCTCCGGTGATAAGCCTTGTCGCGCTTGTATCAAACACAATTGGGAATGCATCTTTGGTCACTCCGGTCGCAGGCGGTTTTCTGAAGCGTCAGTTCATGCGTGTTGTAGCCTCCGGCTAGTCCCACTGACTGTCAATTAGCCACGTGAAACATCTATTGGAAAAGATTCGAGTCTACGAGGGAAAACTCAGCTCTCAGTCTGTAGGGGATTCGACCTCGTCATTGCCTTCTCCAGTAGCACCAAATGTGACCTCAAGCTGTCAACCTGCGCAACAAAGTTCTTCAACCCAGGGGAACAAAGAGCGCCCTAGTCAGAGGCAAGATGAGCTACTATATCTAGATAATGATCCTGCTATAAGTCGGGGTAACTTGGCATCGCTTCTTATTCCTGGTCTACTTGTGAATATAAACTGACTCTACGTGCAGCAACGGACCTGACCTCGGGGCCCGCATTCGAGTCTCAAGCCAGGTCGTTTCTCGACAGGTCGCATTCCAGTGACTACAACTTCCATGGATCTACTTCAAATTTTCAATATCAAACTGATCGATTACCTCAGTGGACGTCGGTCAAAGAGCTCGTTGACAATGTTGCTGGGGTTTCTTTCCCATCTTTGGAGGAGTCACAGCACTTGCTTGATCAGTTCCTTTTTTATCTCGGCGTGAGCCAGCACTTTTTTGATCCACGATCATTCTCCGATGACCTTATGTTGCTATTTCAGAGCCCAGAGACAAGGCAACAGCAGATAAACTCTCCTTGGTTTACAGAATATCTCTTGGTCATGGCCATGGCAAAGCTCATGGATGTAAAATATCCGACATCACAGACACCTGGAACGGACTTGTTTGCTGAAGCTTTGAAGCGTCTTCCTCCGTTGCATGATATGGGTGGTGAAGGTGTTGTCGCTGTTGAGATATTAACACTGATTACTACGTATCTGCAATGGTGTGACCGTAAACATGATGCATATCTCTATGTACGTTATGCAAGGTCCGCAAATTTATTGCACGGAACATTGACATGTGGTAGATTGGACTCGCACTGCGACTTGCTATTGCTCTTGGGTGCAACCTGCGGGAAGTTGACTAACGCTGCCTCCCTTCCCAGAGTGCCCACAGATTAAGACTATGGTGGACTGTATACATGCTGGACAGGTATGCCTTTCTGGCCACTTGGGGTTGGAACTCAACTTACACTTTTAGGCGCCTGTCTTCGGGTCTTGGACTGGCTGCAGGGGCGGATGAACGACAGCTACGCACTGAACTCCCGCGGAACGCCATGGGGTTCCAGTCACCAATTGCTCTTGCCATCAATGTTCGTATCGCACGTGTCACCGATGATATAATGTCAAGTAAGCTATATGCCATTGAATTCCTAGCATCGTGCTAATACACCCACAATAGCTTTATACGGAAATAAGTCAATCACCCAACTGGAATTGGTCCAAAAGATACAGCAAACTCTCCAAGAACTGCATGATACAGGCCGATCATTCCCTAAATCCTTGATGTTGGACTTCAATCGACCTTTGCAAATGGTTACTCGCACAGGTGCATCGTTATACCTAATGCTTTTTCAGGTGAGACTGTCCCCAAGCAGAACACACTAATAGCGTTGTTCCTGATTTGGTATCAGGCTATCATCCTTTGTACACGGCCAATACTACTCCAAAGAGCCCGATTTGAAGCTCAGAGCCAACAACAGCCGCAGTCACCCAATCCTGCCCCGAGTATGTTGCTACGTCTCTGTGATACATGTGATGAGGCAGCCACCAGAAGTCTCGCAATACTTGAATCACTTCGTCGCCAGCAAACTATCCGTGAGTCTATCTAGTGTTCTAGTCAACGGACCCCTGGGCCGCAGATTATGTTTCGCATTTATAAAAACTAATAGCTAACATATTACTCTAAGCCCGGTATGGCTTTTTTGATCTCGACGCAACATTCTCCGCTGCATTTGTTTTGGTGATGGTAGGCTTCCTGGACAAATCACAAAGCCAACCACCCCCAGCGCTTGATCAAGCATCCAGAGTACTCCAGTTTCTATCCCAGTCTGGAAATTTGGCCGCAGAGCGACGCCTACAAGATATTGCACAATCTTATTCCCACGTTTGGCCAAATCATGTTTTCAATGCAATTGCCCCACACGACGATGCAGTCTCCCGGGACCAGACTCAGACACTTGCACCAGGTCCAGGCTTGAGAGAAGATGCGCTGTTGGCTTCCTCGGATGCACCACCATATATGGCTGCAGCCTCAAGTAGTCGGGGTGATCATCAAGATGAGATCAGATTACTTGAGCCATGGTCTAATATGGATGTCCCGGACGTAATGTTTGATATGCAGGGAGACTGGAATATGGATCTCTCCGGGGAAGCAGAAGGAATTTATTCAAGTTTCCACAATCCGACATTGCCACTGACTGGGGTTGACTACATCGACTGGTTGGAGATCGAGAAAGTATTTAACGGTCCATAGAGCGGATAGAAAAGCACGTCTCTTGCACAACTATATTCTGACTGCGACTTCCCAAAATTGGTCACAAATCCGTTATTGATCCTATGACAGTCCAAAAAGTCTAAATAATCATGAATATATGAGAATTGATACGAAGACAGATAAAGAGCCCCTGCTGTGTGGACAAATTGATATTGTGTGGCATGCGTGTCCACCTGGGGATCTTGTCTACTATATATAGCAGGCCTTTTACCCGTGGCCAATGTTATACCCGTTTGAGATCATATTTCAAAGCCACGCCCAATTTTGTGATCATCTGGATTTGTTTCCCTGTAAATTCTTATTCGGGGAAAGAAAAGCAACAATTATAGAGATTCTTCATCCTGGCTATAATTCCTGGGCATCTCCAGGACTCTATAGATATAGCCTTCTTTCTCTTTTGATGAGAGCCACCTTGTACCCTTATTCATACTCTTCTGTTGGTGAAAAAAGTCATTTTCCTGTATGTATATCATTTCTCTAGCTGATCTTCACTCTAAAGTTTTAGATTCCAGTGTGTCTCCATAGACTTGGCAATCTAAGGTTGTCTGTCACGTGATCATACCAACATCTCACCGTTCCTGTTCCTCGCTGGCAGCATGCACTGCAGTTGGAGTCCGACCGTTCCTTATTTCGTCGCGTCAGGCATTTCGAGCCGAGCTTCGACTCTCACATTCGGTGCCATTTCGACTCCAAACCTCTCACTGTGTTAAAAATCCCATCGCCAAATCTTCTGATAGCTTCCCCGCAATCGCGTCCCTCGCGCCGAACGATGCCCACACTCGCTGTGTTCCCACGTGGGTGAAGACAGCAGTTTACACCAGGCCCTATCAGGCCTGCACATCGAAAAAAAGCGTGATCGCATACGATAATCACGGTATTAGAGTTGGACCGCAGAGACTACTGCAAGCATGGAGGCCGACTGGGATGAACTGTCGCGTATCCCAATGCCGCCGCCGAGCCCGCATGCTATGCCCACTGTGGCAACGGCGACGGCATTTGACGATATGATGGAGCTTCTTTGGACAGGCAATGAATATGTGAGTGCTGGTCTCGGCTGGGGTGTTTCCAAGGCGGGATGCTGATGAGTGCGTTCAATTCGCCAGGGTAGAGTTTGTTCCTTTTACGGGCCGGAACTGCAACGTTATACCTCTGTTCGAGCGCATCCAGCCTCTGAGGGGTCAGTACGGCAAATAATATTCCACGAAAGAGGTGTGATTTCGCTATCATCAAAGAGTGTGCACATGATTACCCGACGGGGCTTGACACAGTGGCATCTTACTCACGATGAAATGGTCGATCTCCGCTGCATGAGCTTCACAGCCCAGACCAATCGAATCCTGGTCGCGGGCTCTCAACGCGTGATGTTCACGGTAGATATTGACAAGGGCACAATCGTCGAGAAGCTGCCCACCGAGCACGGCTACACGATGATGAAAAAGAGTCGATATCTCTGTGCTGCAACAGATACTGGATCAGTTAATGCTCTCAGTCTCTTAGACTTCAGTGTTGTCAAGTCATGGAAAGCCCACGGAACAGGTGTTAATGACATGGATGCGCGGAATGACCTGCTTGTCACCTGTGGCTTCTCAGTCCGCCACCTCGGATCCCCAATCGTGGACCCTCTAGCCAACGTTTATGACTTGAAAACTTTGACACCGTTGCCTCCAATTCCTTTCCATGCTGGAGCAGCATACGTGCGCATGCATCCCAAACTTCACACCACCAGCTTCGTGGCTTCACAAACTGGTCAACTCCAGGTGATAGATCTCATGAATCCCAATTCGGTCAACTTGAGACAAGCCAATGTGTCACTCGTGCTCGGTATCGATCTCTCACCATCAGGGGAAGCATTGGTCATTAACGATGCCGAATGCTCCCTTCACCTATGGGGCTCACCGACTAAGGTTCATTTCAATGAATTGAGCAAGGAGACAGAGTTTGCCGACGTTCCCACGCGGACTCCTCAGTTAGATTGGTCTCCCGAGTCTCCGTTGAACATGGTTGGGATGCCTTACTACCATGAACGTCTCTTTTCGGCATGGCCAAGCCATTTGGTTTTCGAGGTTGGCAGCCCACCGGCTCCGTTGGATCAGTCCATGTTACCATATTTACGCCCCGCAGAGATGGGACACCATGCTCCAAACCCGAGAAAGACTCGTCGATACCAAATAGAAAACACTCGCGCACTGACCACGGCAGAGCCTGCTCTTATTGCACCGAAGTTTTTGAGTGAAAAGGCTCGAGACTATAGCAATTCAGACAGCTTGGTTGGTGATGCTGCAGAGGCACTGGCAGGGGCGAAAATCAACGGAGAGAGCGATGATGACCCATTACTCAAATACAGTAACGTGGAGATCAAATACAGCCGATTCGGTGTAGATGACTTCGATTTCCGGTACGTCCTTCGGTTTCAATTTATATGCCGCTCTTCGCTTACGTTCTCTATAGATTCTACAACAAGACCTCATTCTCCGGACTTGAGACTCACATCGCCAATTCTTTTACCAACTCACTTCTTCAACTTTTCAAATTCATCCCACTTTTCCGAAACCTCGCCTTGAACCATGCGGCCGGATCGTGCATATTCGAGCATTGTCTTTTGTGTGAACTGGGCTATTTGTTCGATATGCTTGAAAAGGCAAGCGGGCAAAATTGTCAGGCCACCAACCTTCTCAAGACATTTAGCAGCTTCCGAGAAGCCTCAAATCTGGGTCTCTTGGAAGAGAATCTTACCAACAAATCTCTCTCGACTGCGATCCAAGCAGTCAACCGTTTTTTCCTGACTCAAATAGCTCAAGACTTCCGGATGATTCAACCTAGTTCCGAAGAGCTCGATCAGCGCTTAGCCACTATTGCATCCGAGTCTATCCGGTGCATGTTCTGCCAGAACGAAATTGTACGCCCTGGCAATTCACTCGCCAATGAACTGATTTACCCGAATATCGATATTAAGCATGCACGACGAAATCCACTGTTCCGGTTCTCCAATATCTTACGCGCAAGTATCGAGCGAGAGACACAAAACCGAGGATGGTGCAATTATTGTCGTCGCTACCAGCAAGTGACGATTCGCAAGACCATTCACCGTATGCCTTTGATTCTCGTACTCAATGCCGCCCTGACCAACCCTCTCTGCCGTCGGCTTTGGGCAATCCCAGGGTGGTTGCCCGACGCCGTTGGCATTCTCGTTGATGCTAGTGGACAGGTGATGTGCTTTGAGGGTGACGATCTTCGCCTCCGAATTCAAAATCAAACACCCGGACTCGCGGTATATGATCTAGTTGGATTGGTTGCGGAGATTGACATCCCGGAACATCAAAAGCCCCATTTAGTATCTTTCGTCAATGTCTCTATTTCAGGTGCTGAGTCCGAAGAACAAAGCAGATGGCACCTGTTCAATGACTTCTTGGTCACGGAGGTCGACAGAGACGAAGCACTCCGATTTACACAGCCTTGGAAACAACCTTGCGTGCTAGCTTACCAAGTGAGAGACCCACGCAATGTCGTTGATGATTCTTGGAAGAACTCCCTCGATAAAACCCTGCTATTCCGCGAGTGGTCTTTGAAGTAAGTTTTTGAAATTAAATCCGAGGGTTTGGGCAGAAACACTAACAATCGTCTTGTAGTGGTGGTCGTCAAGTTGAGTCATGTCAAACTCTCACCGAGGAGGAACAGCCACAGCCTGGGACACCTGTCGCATTGGATACTGAGTTTGTTGATTTAGAGAAAGCCGAGATTGATGTCAAGGCAGACGGATCACAAGAAATGGTACGCCCCAACAAGAGCGGGCTGGCCCGCGTTTCTGTCTTGCGCGGTGTGGGTGTTCAAGAAGGAGTACCCTTTATTGATGACTATATCACCATCCGCGAGCCAATTGTGGACTATGTGACCCAGTATTCCGGCATCAAGCCTGGGGACCTGGATCCACGCACTAGTGAACACAACCTTGTCCCACTCAAGGTTGCGTATAAGAAGCTTTGGCTGCTTCTAAACCTCGGCTGTGTATTTGTTGGTCACGGTCTAGCCTCTGATTTCCGCAAAATCAACATTCAAGTGCCCAAGGCACAAACTGTGGACACACAGTACCTCTTCTTCCACCCCGGCAAGAACCGCCGTCTCAGTCTCAGGTATCTGGCCTGGGCTGTCTTCAAGGAGCATATCCAAGAGGAGCCCACACCCGAAGCCGTACAAGGTCATGATTCGATCGAGGATGCTCGCATGGCTTTGCGTCTCTGGAAAAAATTCCAGGAATATGAAGATGCTGGAATTGTCACCCAAATGCTCGAAGAGATTTTCCGTGAAGGCTCAAAGCTAGGATTCCGCCCCCCCCCCTAAAAATGGAGGCACCATCACCGTTCTCTCCCGACCTGGCACCGCTGTCACCATGCAGAATGACAGCGGTCGCAACACTCCTAGCACCCCAGACACACGGTCCACGGTGCCAATCGCCCCAACATCGGCCGCTCCCATCGCTGGAACACCCAGTGCCCCTACCACCCCTCGCCAGGCTTTTAGGCGATCGATTGCCTTGACCCCGAGTAATGGGAGCTTTTCTGGACCTGGCGCCGGTGACTTCTTTGGAGGTAGCCCACTTCGATAGATGAAGATTTTTGACCTTTTATCCTTATCTCTTTTCACTCGACTTGTTTGGCTATGTCGGCATCATGCCGCAAAAATGTATTATGCGCACATTCTCAAAACGTTAGATAAACTGATGTTTGTGAATAGGTATAACAAGTATGTATTTTCTAGTTCTCTGGCCTAGAGAGTATATCTCTTTCTAGACTAGTGTTCTTGAAGCCTCCATATAAAATATTGAGAAAGGACGGTAGACGGATTTGGCTATAGACCCTGAGAGAACTACTAAGCGTATTGAACACCTATATCCTTCCTAGGATCATATATTACCCATCGCCTAGTGTTAGCCCACATGTCTTTCTTCTAGCCTTATTTTTCGTGGATCATGTTTTATAAACGAGCCGAAAGATAGGAGAGTTTGTTCTATGCAGAACAGCTCCCTCGTCTAGATATCCCGGAAAATCATAATAAAACTCCATTATTGCTCCATTTACCTTTATATGCCTGCTCTACTGGCGTGAGATGAAATAATCGAGTCATACTGGATTTTAACAAGTTGCTCACGCTTAAAGCTAGTTGTTCAAGAGATCTCGGAGATTGGGAAAATCTTTCGACATTGCATGTCATGTTAATATAGATATACTCGCCATAGAGACAGACTGAACCGACAGAGGAGAGATATCCCCACATGAACTAGCTCGGACCCCACGCTTTATGCCTCAGGCATCCAGCAACATTTGATTGGCCAAAGCATCCGGGGACCGGCACCCCAGCAATCTACCGAGCGGAGTATTTAGATCCAATATTCCGCGGGGGTCTGGGCGAATTAATTCACTGTTTTAACTATTATCGACCATGAGCCCTTCAGTCACCGGGGCTCCTTCACCGGTTCAGAGAAGTGCATCCCAAGTGTGTAGTAGCTGCAAGAGGTACGGAGATCCCCTGTCCAGCCTGCACATGGTATTAACGTTTAGGCACGTTGCAGACTAAAAAGAAAATGTGAGAAACGAACGTCACGGTACCTGGTACAAGACTTATCATGTCCCAGGTGATCGAAAACAGCCAAGTTGCTCGAGATGTCAACTAAGTGGACTCGAGTGCCAATATGGACAAACCAAAAGGCGACCGGGGCCCGCGAAGGGCTCGATCCAGTCTCGGACAAGTTTCCTGCTCGATAAAGTCCGTAAGTAACTTCCACGGCTGTTCGAGATTGTACTTTCGCTAATCCTTGATGTTCAGGTCACTTAGAGGATACTATTCAAAGCCTAGTGGAAAGAAGCAACACATCAGCTCTACCGTATTCTCCACTGACGCAGAGCTATGACACATTATTCGACGGAGATAGTTGGGACTCCTTTGGCACTGAACTACCATCCAATATCCAACCCGAGACCAATCAAGACGCCCATAATTATTCCCAACGGCCAGACGATATCCTTCCATCCATTACAGCGCCAGCTCATCAGGAATCTTCGCCAAGCTCAATTATCTCGCAGGAAAGCCACATTCGCCATCCCACGGACCAAACTATTGCTAGCACGAAAGCGGAGGAAAATGATACTTTGTACGAAACCTACATACGCTTTACTATATACAACCAGGCTAATCGAAAAGTAGGTTGCGCCTATATTTTGAGCATATCCAACCCGCCTTTCCGATGTTCCGAAAGTCTCTATTCCATGACGAGCTATCTGCAAATATGATCCCGCCTGCCCTGTTGCTTTCGATGTTTGCGGTTTCTTCCCGGTTTGTCGGCACCAGCTGCTATACCGATTCAGGCTGTTCGACTCAGCCGCAGGAATACTTCGATGCCGCTTATAAAAGATTCCGTCAGGAAATGGATCGGAATCGACCGGTAGAACTAAACGACGTCAAAGCTGCATGTCTCCTCGCATTATACGACTACACATCAGCGCCCAGCCGTCGAGCATGGCTACTAGTTCGAGATGCCATGAGTCTCGCTTTGGCTGCCCGGCTACACGAGATCGACAGCCCAGACTCTTTGCAAGAATTATCTGATGCTGAAAGGGAAGAGCGACGATTCGTGTGGTGGACAATTTGGAAGTTAGACTCCACGGTCAATGTCTCAACAGTGACCCCTTTTGGGATCGACTGTCGGATGATAGGAACTGCCTTGGTGTCGACGACTGTTCAAAACTTTACAGCCGATGCTTTAGGGCCAATAGTACCGGTGATTCCAGAAATGGACCCAGTCAAGTCCTGGAGTTCGATTGTGGCGCCCAATCTACAGGATACTGGAGATGGGTTCAACACCCATTTATATGCAGTGTCTTTGCTACGGGCAGTCTCCGAATGCCAACAGCGCCTCAACGCGAAGCTGTGCTCTGAAGAGATCGCACGAGCAGATACCTTGAATCGTATCCTGTCCTCCCTCCACCTCATTCTACCAGACTGTTTCTTCAGTCCAACTAAGCGCCTCATGGAACAAGAACATGCACATAGATTACGGCTTGAGACTAATATCATGCTGAACACGTTCGTTTTCTTCTCTGTTTTTACTCCGTTCATTTGCTGACCGGCCAACCCACCAGTGCACGTCTTATCTTACACGAACCTACCAGGCAGATTGTGACAGGCACAGATCTTTCATCGGACTCAACATTGACGTCTCTGAAAAGCTGGAAAGACAGTATTGGCTTCGCACGAAAAATTGCTTCGCTCTTCGATCATTGGCAATTCAGCTATTCTGCGTATGCTGACCCGGTGATCAGCTGTGCGCTATGGCATGCTTACTGCGGACTGAGACTCTACGGTATGTCCGGGCTGGATGAGTCCGGTTCGAGTTTCAGCTCCCCGGCAACGATCAGTCTTGAGAAGTTGAGACTATCTCTGGAAAGCTTTACGCCCTGGTGGCCAATTGCACGAGTCCTCAGAGGTAAGTTTTTTTTGTAATCTTTTCCAATATCGTTTACCTCGGGTGCATGCACAAATCTTGCGTAAAACTTTGTGTCTATTGTGTCAAGACTCAAACTAATCTATTCGCATCTAGATTCGCTTCAAGCTCTCCCAGCACGGAGCTGGTCTTTTGTTGACATCAGCAAGCTAGTCTCCTTGATTTCCCTCTCTAGAAAGGCGTTCAATCCTTACAGAAGCGATTCGGAAAAGGTAGATGTCACATTTCTTTTGAGTTATCAATGATATTTGATTGAATCATGTTATACATAACGAACTTTTGTTGTTTTTGGAATACACTCAAATTGAATGTTCCACAAATTGAGCGAACGAGGTGGTCCATTTTAAATTAAATATATGTTAAAGCTCAATTATTTGTCTTCTAGTGATTGGTAGACAAGAGTAGAAGCTGCAAGATGCAGTGTTCTCAACGCACAATAATGCGAGCGCAATATCTTGTTGGCCTCGTTTGAAAGCGAGTTGTACAGCGGAATTTCTGTTATGATATCAGGAAGGCTGGCAACCCAGCTTTCCAGTTCTTGTATACAATAAAAGTTGGCTAGCATGCTGGATCCATCTGACGAAGAATCCACTGTAGCGATGCCACCGAATAAATCAGATGGAAGCCCTCTCGGAAATTCCAGGGCAGTGAGGACCCGGCTAATACAAAGACTCAACTTTGCATTCTCTATAAATATCAGAGCGAGACGTTTTTGAATCTCCAGGTCCTGGAAGACTTCCGATATACTCAATGCGCACATATCTCCGGGGGAGTATGTTGAAATTTCGAAATCGGTCATCGTCAAGATTGGGATCTCGAAAGCACTGTCATCGATAATGCCAGCCCGTTTGGTAGTCAAGGACAGGATTCTATCCCGGCAAAACAAGCTCCACCATGTTCGCACACGGTCTCGCTGGCTTGCTACCGAAATTTGTCGATCCGGGGAACGATGCAAGCCCGCTGTATAAGCAAGGGACACAGCTATACCCATCCAGTGCCGTGGATCTTTGTCTGGGCTTTTGTCTCTCCAGAAGGATAATAGCACAAGTGACTTGATTACCGTCAGGCGATCTTTCTCGTAATCGAAGTCAAACAGACACCGGGCTCGGGAAAAGAATTCACCACAAGCAGCAGCTTTGCTTGTATAGCCTGATGCAGATAGCTCCGCAGAGTTTACGAAAGCAGATCCGGCAAAGAATATTGCCTGGAGCAGTGAAATACTGATATGTTGGCTTGGATCTTCAGTGGATATGGCTTGTAGTAATTTCCTGATATCGACGAATGGCACGCGAGGGTGAATATAATTTATATAGGCTCGAACAAGGGCGAGTTGAAAGGGGCGTGGTGGCATTATGAAGACGCCTTTTTTGGTCAAATACACGAGCTCATCTGCGCCAAGGGTGTTGTTCCCACGTACAGTGCTCACAGTGCACTTCTTCGAGCTGTGAACGTTTGTCGAATTGAGAAATCTTTCGGGATTGGGTGGAAACTGCAGAAGGTATGGCCTCTGGACGCCTGAGTAGGATGCATCAGTAACTATCCAATGGCTCGAATTCACCAGGGATATTTACGGCCTTTTTTTGGTATTCCCGAGTCAATCTCCAAATCGAATCTTGGGGATACATAATCTTCACTAGAAGTAGGAGTTTCGGAGGAGTATGGATTCCAGTGATTGTCTGATCCATATTCACTGGTCTTGGGAGCTGGCTCCCATCTCTTTCCCCTAGAGAACTGATCTTAGTATTCCAATAGACAACGGCAGTATGAGTTGAGACATACCTTCTGGACTTCGCCCTTCTCACACATTGAATCCCCCGGATTAAACAGGAAGTGCAAGCTGCATCCTCTCGCACTCGATCGCAACGTATTTTCCTGACTTTACAGAGACAGCATGCATTCGCAGCCCTTTTGCGCTTTTTGATTTGGGCATTTTCCATTGCCAAAAGTTCACAATGCCAGGTGCATGAGAGCGGAAAACCTCCGGATTGCAAATCAAAAGACGCATATGTTTATAATCAAAAGTACACATGGAAAATCGTTGACAAATCGCGATTCTCATCGGCGGCTGAACAAGATGCTCCGCATCGGCGGGACAGTGGAATCACCCCGATGTCATATCCATATTGAAATAATATAAATGCGCCGAAGACATATCTCAAGTCAAACGATATCAATTTAAAATTCATAAAGGTTCAAAAATGCCTCCTGGTCGCATCCCACCCGTCTCGAATAACCCCGAGAAAATCCAACTCGAACGCCTCAGCTATGTGTTGTTTTCGCATCCGGATCTAGAGAAGTTCAACACTTTTGCAGTTGACTTCGGCTTTGAGGTCGTCGAGAAAACCGAGTCCTCCATTTGCTATCGTGGTTGGGGCCAAGATACCATTTCCTACGTCGCCCTCCCTGGCGATGCCAATGATGAAGGGTTCAAAGGCGCCGCTTTCATCGCCAAAACCGAAGCCGACTTCACAAAAAGTGCCGCTCTACCAGGAGCATCCTCTGTTCAAGATCACAAATGGCCCGGTGGAGGCAAGATTGTGACGATTCCATCGCCTTCTGGCGCAGCTATCCACGTTATTTGGGGCCAGCAGGATCGACCCAAGCCCGAAGCTCCAGTCAGCCATACCGAAGTACATAAAGGAGGGTACAATACGACATTGAAGAAAGAGAGAAAGGGTTCGTTTCCTATTTGGCGGCAATATAACGTGCAAATCTGAACTAACGTGTCTTTTCTTCACAGGAGAATTCCAACGGTTCAAACTCGGACCGGCTATGATACATAAGCTTGGACACTATGGCTATATGACCAAGATGTTCGACGAGGACATCGACTTTTACACCAGCAACTTCAACTTCGTCCCATCTGATATTCTATATGAGGAGATCGATGGACAAGAAATTGATACATTAACATTCATGCATCTCGACCACGGCTCAATTTACACCGACCACCACACTCTTTTCCTCAACCGGGTCCCTTCAACTTACCCAGTAAACTACCGTGTCCACCATTGCTCTTTCGAGGTGGAGGACTTTGATACCCAGCTGCTTGGACATGAATATCTGCTCAGCAAGGGCCACAAGCTTGTATGGGGTGTCGGACGGCACGTTCTCGGATCCCAGATCTTCGACTACTGGCAAGATCCCAGTGGCTATAGCATTGAGCACTATGCCGATGGCGATGTGGTCAATGAGGATAACCCTACAGGGAGATCCCAGAGTGAAGGCGCAGCTTCGATGTACATTTGGGGTCCGATCAGACCCTTAACGGGTGTTGCGCAGTAGGAAGTCATAATTTTGTCGGCGGAATATAAGTCTATGGTACCTGACTGGCTATGGATTATTGAATATATTATTTTCAAATGACAATTAGTATATCAATTAGATACCATTCAGAGGTAGTCTTTCATTTGCCAGCGTAATTTAGAGTATTCTACCTTTCCAGTCCATGCAGCCACCGCAAACTGCCAATTCTAGTGATGAAGTATACCAGAAAGATGGATGACACAGTGCAATAGCTATGGATTCTGGATTATGGAATACAGAGGGAATAATGGCAATCTAGACACAATATACAGGGGATTCAGGGCGAAATTGAATGGTGATCAAAGGGGATTCCGTAGGTATTGGCCCGCATATTCAGGCCAGTAGACAATGGGTTGTTGGCGCCAAACCTTAGAACACAATTTTGAGCCCCAGCAATAAGGGGCAATGAAGGACAATCTAGAGGATCCCACATAATGGGGATTTATCCCGTGTCTCGACACACCGAGAAATGGGGTAGACAGTAGAGATGTGTCTTCGCGCTCGGCGGGATAACTAGTTCCCCCGGTCCCCACGCCGGTCCCCCACGCCGGTCCTCTCTCCACGTCCCCAGAATATCTCGGGTTGACTTCTTTGGTGGATTTTGATTAGATTGGTTCCCTATAGCAGCTAGTTGATTGGGAGTTTTTCCTGAGTTGAAAGGCGTTTATATTTTCAGAAAGAGATATCGCGGCATGACATATTGTGGATATATAGACGAGTTATGTACGATGACTATTTTCAATACACTTAACAATGAAACATATGCAATAGAAACAAAGAACAGCAGGGTTTTACAAAAGACCTCGGTCTCAAACAAATAAAAGAATGTAGGCAGGCCTGACATGCGAGATGATCAAGATGTTTAGACTCCGAAATAGTCTTTCACATGCCGTAGGTTGGCCTTCAGTCCGCTCAGGTCGGATGCAACTGAATGAATGAAGAAGTCAGGACGCAGGATGACGTATTTTGCCGAAGATGGCACCCGGTTCTGCAGCGCGTTTTTGTTGTAGGCAAAGACCGGGGTAATATCGGCTCGTTCCAAAACGTCAGCTGAGCAAGTGTTCCATGCCGTCACCCCGTCTTTGCTCGACAGATTTCCTCCCGTCAAGTTGACGTAGACGATGTTCTCTGGAGCTAATAGATTACCTAGTACCTTTAGCTCTTCGACCGCGGCATCCACTGAAGCAGGGTCAAAGTCCGAGGCTTTCCTGGCCAACACCAAAACGGCGATATGAGACCTGTCTCTCAATAGGACCTCATCAGACAATTGGGGCAGATCTTTCCCTGGTTGCTGCACCCACACCTGAGCAATCTTCTGTCCACCACCCGCAGCCTGCAAAAAGAAACCATCGGGACAGGTAGTAGAGTTGTAGATCAACTTGTCCTTGAACGCTCGGCGGGTGCGAATTTTGGCGCCGCCCGGTAGCCACCAAATCAGACGCATACAGAACCTGTAGATGCTTTCACGCCACCCAAAGCCCATGTTTGCGATAGAGCCATTCAACTTGGTAGATAGTGTAGCGGCTTCCCAGGCATGGCGACGTTCCTGACTCCAGCCTTGCAAAATGCGTTCGCGAGACGTGCCTGTTACACCGAGACGGATCATCATAGATAGTCGCCACCCGAGGCCTTGGGCATCTCGGATGCCAGTTGCAATGCCCTGGCCACCGAAGGGAGGGAAGACGTGCGCAGCATCACCGATCAGCATGGTTTGGCGGCAGTACCATCGGTTTACAACTTTAGTCGCGAATCTGGATACCATCAAGTAATTCAATTAGTACATCGACTTCCCATTGAGAATCCAAACCTTGCCTGGGAGAATAGCTAGGCTTACCTGAATGGACGGCAGCGGAGGACTTTTATGCAATCCCTTGGGTATGCGACTGTGAGTCCCTTCAATTTCGACGAGAATTGCGAACCTGGGAGGTTCATCCACGGTCCGAACTGGTTCCAGAAATCTTGTTCGCAATCTTCGGGCTCTTCTTCGTTTCCGATGGAGTATTCGTGTCTGGTAGCAGGTCAGATATGCCATAATCACTTATACTCGCTTGGTTGAAAGATTGTTACCTCCAGAACCGCGCACCCTTCGGCCCAAATCTTCCGCTGACTGCTGGTCGATGTGTGTCGTTACAGAAGCTTTTGTTGATTAGCGCATGCATTAACAGATTGCTCAACCAATGAACTTACTGAAACCCTTTGGGCCAGAACGCGCTATGCACTTGCTCTGGTGTGTATCCTAATTCCCACAGAGGGAAGTCGGGATGCGTCTTGGGAGTGGGTAGATCCACCTCGAGGTTGATCGCGATCCAGGTTCCAACGTATGGCCAGCTTTGTAAGGTGGTCAGACTTATGTACCAACAATGAGATAGGATGTCACCCGACTTACACGGCATCCTCTTGTTTGATTCCTTCTGGCTCGAGGAATCGTTTTCTCACAATGCCACGCTTTCCATCAGCCCCCACGAGCCAAGACGTTCGAATGGACTGGATTGTGCCGTCCGCAGTGCGATATTCGATGATTGTATGATCCTCGTTTTCTACGCGGCTGAGAACCTCGCAGCCAACACGGAGATCACAAGAGGGAATAGTCTTGAGAAGTGTTCGAATTTCGCGTTCTGCAAATGTCAGCAACCCATTATACTGAAGTGTAAGGTTTCGCCGTCATTAAAACGCATAGAACTAACCATAATTTGGTTGGAACTGGGTGATATTCTGTGAAAGGGACTGTTCCGCCCAGTCAGGCAGCAAGTCGAAAGTCATAAACGGACGTTGTCGGAAGTTTCCAGCGTGGAAATTGAGGGCACCCATATCTGAGAGAAAAATCGATGTCAGATATTGATTTGCATTCGATTTATATTCAAACTCACCACTTCCGATTCTTTTGGTCAACCCTTCCCCAATTCCGACCTGGTATGAAATTCGAACGGCATCGCCATTCACAACAATTCCGCGAGGGTCCTCGCAAACTTCTTGATCTTTTTCGAGAATGACGACCTAGATATGAGGGTCAGCATCTGCGGCGACGCTGGGCGCTAATATACTGACCTTGATTCCCATCCGACCCAAAAGAGCTCCCAGGACAAGGCCGCTGGGCCCAGCCCCGACAATGAGAACGTCGGTTGTCTCCATTATTGCACTCAGGCAACTGAATAATGGTATAAATTGAGTGAGAGATTCGTCAGACGAGAAAGACAAATACGTGAGACTACAGTGACGCGATTAATCCAAGATCATATATGCAAAAAAAAAAAGTGAAGCTATGCCGGCATTAAAGCGGAGATAAACGTTATAAACAGGGACCTCGGGTGACGAATACTTTCCCTTGCCGAAGCATTGTTATTAGATGTTTTTAGAGCTCTCTCATCTAAGCGGAAAATTACCCCAGCTCAGTTGTCGCGCAACCGCTCTGCTTTTCCCGCATAATGTGGCGCGATATCTAGTTCGGCCGACGGTCCCGCATGAAGACCACCTCCAGAGCTGGGCAAGTAATGCAACATTTCAATGTAAGTTGATTATGAGGCGGGTTCTATCTCCAGACCCAGCTTTCAAGCTAGCCATTGGCAAAATCAACATGGGCAGTTCATGGCATATTTGGGATTGTCCGTTTCGTCGCATCCCAAACATACCTTGCCTTCTTTGGGATTCTTTCTAGTAAACTCATAGTTGAATGATCGAGAAATTTTTCAATCCTTTCCTGGATTTTCTGTCGAAGCAGTGCAGCTCTAGTATAACCCTCCCAACCCTAACGCAAAACACCAATCTTCATCTCAATTTCGTGATATTTGACTCCATAGATGTATAGTCAGGTCTACACCCAAGTCAGCCCGAGTGTTCACATGCAAATAGGGATTTTTACAAGTAAAGAAAATGCTTCTCTATCGACTTTAACAATCTACAGTGTCGTATTTCACCATATGGGCGAGTTATACTCGAATTAAAATATAAAGCCAGGGAAAGGATAATTGGTTAAAAAGTTTCAATATTTGCTCTTCTAGTAGTCTAATTTCATTGAACACATATTGGGTCCTCTGATTCAAACAAAGTCAACTCCGTTCTTCAAAGTACCAATCTGCGACACGCTGATGTTCATCTGGTTACCGGGTCTGATAAACTGAGGAGGCACGAGGCCGTTTCCAACTCCTAGGAAGTGTCAGCATGAGGCCTTGGGAATTGAACTGTGAAACTGAACATCGACGTACCTCCAGGGGTTCCTGTCATGATAATACTTCCTTTCTGCAAGGTGGTGCCCGTCGACAGATAGGAGACTAGAGCGGCACAGTCAAATACCAAATCCGAAATAAGAGTGTCTTGGCGCAGCTCTCCGTCAATCTTAGTCTGTAGGCGCAGCTCACTCGGGTCCTTGATAAGATCCCTCCGCACAAGGCAGGGGCCCAAAGGCGCGAATGTATCGAACCCCTTGGAGAATCCCCACTGTGGAACTGGGCCGGCAATACTGCGGTCGATCTGTAGCCTACGGGATGAAACATCATTTCCAACCGTATAGGCAGCTACATAACTGAGCGCATCTTCCTTGCTGACATCCTTAGCATCTTTGCCAATCACAAGACACTGCAAATTGTGTATATGATCAGCAATGGCCACAGGTTTTAGATAGGGCTTTATGTAAGACTCACCAGCTCTCCTTCATAGTCTGCCTGCTCATCTTGAGCAATCTTAGGGATCTTCACATTCGCGTTATGGTCAGTGACTGTCGTATTCGGCTTGAAGAAGATAGACGGTGTGGGTGGGGTCGAACGTCCAGTCTCGCGGACTATTGAGCTGTTAGTCTTAGGCTTTGCGTCACAGGACCGCCGAATACTTACTGTGTGTGAGGTAGTTAAGTCCAACGCAACGCAGAATGGGGACATCTTGAGGAGTCAAAGGGCCGAGAAGTCTCGACACAGTCACAACTTCATCGGTGACACGGGTTTCGCCGGTAGTGTTATAGATATCTGAGCCCGTGATCACTTTTGCTTGCAGCTTGGTTTCTTCTGTAGTGTCTCCAATATCGAAGTCCGCCGATGGCATCACCGGCTCACCAAGCAACGTGCGACCATCTGTGGCGACGAATCGGATCAAACGTTCCCAGGCAACAGACATAATTGATTATCGAAAGAAGTTGGAATTGAACGGAGTGAATTGAAGGTATTGGTAGAGCACAACCCAGGTTAGATTCCAGTTTAAGTAAATAGCCACCAGTCTCCAGGCGGAATCACTTTTTTATTAATTTCTCCATTGACAATCTCGGCCGGGTTGATTCATGCGCGGATTTCCCATATTTCGACGATGCGGCGAATCTAGTTCTCCCGCCAGGCCCACCTGAATTTCATTGGAAAACTCCTAGTTCACCGCAAAAAGTGAATGATATATGCCAGGCATGATTCTCTCGAGCGTATTTTGTTTTTCGAGCAGTTTGACCATCCTTTCACGAGATGACCGTCCAGCAAGATCCAAATCATTACCTTCAGTCGAAAAATGAAGAGGCTCCCTTCAGTACAATAAACGACCATGTTGAACATGCTTCTCTTCCTATCGAGCATCTGAACGAAAAGGGTGCATCGACCATCATAGGTGATGATCCAGATCATCCGGTCAATTGGCCCCGGTATAAGGTAAATTTTCTGAGAGCAACCTTTGGACTCCAAACTAACTGATCGTCTAAAGAGAAATATTAACCTGGGTCTAATCTCATTTCATGCCTTTATGACCAACTTCGTTGGTGCTGGAATCATTCCCGTCTATGCTACCCTCGCCGAGAAGTTTGGTATCGAGATTCAGGACGTTAGCTACTTGACATCGATTCATGTTAGTCACATAATATTCCCATCAACACCTAGTCACGGAAAGCTAATCGACCCAAAGATTCTGTGTACTGGTCTTACGCCCTTCTTTCTAGTCCCCCTTTCCACCAGATTTGGTCGCCGGCCTGTATGGCTTATCTCCACGCTGTTCACGGCGGTCTGTAATGTTGGGTGCGCAGAGAGCCAAAGTTATGCACCCATGTTGGTCTGTCGGATCCTAGGTTCTCTCATGTTGGGTGCTCCTATCGCTCTTGGGCCTCCCGTTGTGATGGAATCGTTTGCAGAGCACGAGCGTGGTCTCGCGTTAGGAACCTGGTCGTAAGTCTTCCCTGGTTTCTTCCCCTTGGCCATCTACTTGAAAAGGGCCATGTAATGTATTGACTACTTACACACCATTCTCACAGTGTTTTTGTCACGCTTGGCCCTTTGACCGGTCCATTCGTCATGGGGTTCGTTGCGGAGCGACTTGGATGGCAGTGGATCTATTGGATCTTCACCCTCATCAGCGGCGCACAATTTGTCTTATACTTTTTATTCAGCCCCGAGACAAGATATATTCAGCAGGAGAAGTCAACCAGAAAGTCTGGCTTCATGAAGTTGATCACATTCCCGCGAATTGATCCCACTCCGTTCTCCGTCTCTGAAGTCATCCGACCCTTCTCAATGGGGAAGCAAGTGACCGTGCTGCTGCCTGTGCTTTCACACAGTATGATCTTCTGTCTCTCGGCTGCAATGTTGACAGTGGAGATCCCTCAGCTGTTTGCCACTCGCTTTGAGCTTAGCCCGGAGCAAACCGGTATCCAATTCCTTGGTATCATCGTGGGCACCATCCTTGGTGAATTGTTCAACGCTGTGGTCCTCAGCTTGATGAACAGACGCACAGTGGAGAAGCAAAGGCATACTGTGAAACCAAAGAATTACCTGGTTGCAAGTTATTTGGGCTTCGTCTCCATGATTGTTGGGTTGGTTGTCTTCTGCGTCCTATTGGGCAACACACTGCCTATGCACTACAAGGTGTCCCCGATCATTGGCATTGGTGTTGCAGGATTCGGAAACCAATTAGTCTCCAACTTTTTAATTAACTGTAAGTTTGCGTGAGGTTATTCTGGTTGTTGAAACAGGAGCTGACAATTTAACTCATTCAGATATCATGCACATTCATTCGGATAACGCCGCCACTGCATCGATCTTCTTGGGCTTCATTCGCCAGACATGGTGCTTCATCGGGCCTTTCTGGTTCCCTACCATGTTTGAAAACGTAGGTATTAAAAACTGTGCTGGGCTTCTGTCCGCGCTGGTGTTCATAAGTGTCCTGCCTGTTATCTGGTTGCACTGGAGATCATGAAGCTAGAGGGGGATTTTGATATGTATCAAAAGCTATGTAGAGAGTGGAGCATGTATTATACTCATAGATTATAGACTCAGTGATAGGTTGCAATTTCCGTCAAATCTATGCTGTCTTCAAGTTGGTAATTGGCTTTGCGAGGCCAATTAAAGGCATGACAAATGTGATATTCGAAATTAGAAGGCGGTGGGAAAGGCGGTCGGCTCAATGAACCATGCTCGGCCTACGTAAATAACCGGTTCTTCCAGGGCTTCCCTGTCACCTACCCCTCGTTCATTGCCCTTACGCTATAATGTCTCGACACCGTGTTAAGGATGTTGATTATGATGAGGACGATTTCTATGAGGATGATGATGCGCTAGACGATCCCGAGGAACAGGAGTTTTTGCAACAGTGTACTACCGCTGTTTTGCAACAGCTCGGTGCGGGGCAACCGTCAGTGACCGCCACGAAACAAGAAGTCCAAGACGCGCTATGGCACTACTACAACGACATCGAGAAATCGGTGAACTATTTGAGGGGTATGTCGAAAATGCCCAGATACACCGCATCGCATGGCATTGCCTATCGCGGAGTTCCGTATTTGTTGTGAAATCCGGCTAACCGAAGTTCTGCGTGCAGGCAAGAGAGAGAAGGGAGGCCACGAAGCAAAACTCGAAGATTCAACCAGGTAAGCAGTGTTCATGGGAGAATTGTTGTCCTAAAGTGTCGCTGGGCTCGGGGTCTGGGGCACAAGATATTCTGCGCGCCCCGATCATAGGTGCTGCGGTTGCTTGCAAATGAAAATGTGTGTACATCTGGTACAAATCCATCCGATGTAATCTCTAGAGGCTCGAGACTGATGCTATAGAAGATTGGACAATGTTCTAACAGGTCTTCCAGTGCCAGCATATCCCGCTCCTCCTTCTACGGCACACTTCTCGGCTGCCGACTTCTTTCGCGATTGTCCCTGGCTCAACGTGCCGTCTCATCGGAAAGCGGATATCCTAATTGAGCCGCTTTATCCACGTTTGGGACTGCTGGGCGGTGCACCGGAGAATGGTGGAAAACTTTCCAAATTGGCCGCCCTAGCTGCAGCCCGGAAGAAGAAAGAGGGCGAGAAGGCACCATCTCTGCCGGAGACTTCGACTCCATCAACTCCTAAACTCGAGCAAGCAAAGGTATCCTCGCTTGATCCTCCGGGTACTTCACGCTCCCTTCGTGACAGACTTGCAGCTAGCGGAAGGTCCACACCAAAAGCTTCAGAGGGTTCTGGGTCTCTGCGTCGTTTGGCAAACCCAAGCTCATCCTCGCATCCGATACCGAAGCAGCCCACATCTGAGGCCAGAAAGCCATCGGTGTCTGAGGTTTCTGAATCGATGCAAAAGGTTGTGCTTGAAACGAAGGAAGAACCAGAACCCGAGCAAACAGTGCCTACTATTCGAGCCCCGCCCTCGACATTTGCCAGCACTATCGTTGGCGCAGCAACGGGCCCGACAGCAGCTGAGCCCAGCCACTTACACTCCAACAGCTCAGACCTGCTGAGGATCTATGGACAGGATCATGCTGAACCTTTTGACTTTGCAGCACCGAGCCCCGACGATGTCGTTCTCAATGCACAAAACACAGCGAAAGGTTTGGCGATCCGCAGGAAGGTTTAAAGGCAATTGCCTAATAATATGTAGGTATGAAGTCGAAATCAGCTGCATCGAAATCGGCAGCGGGGAAGAAAGGCCAGTCTGATCTGGCAGGTGCTATGAAGGATATGTCAGTGGAAGACAAAGTGAGCGTCAAGAGCAAGAATCTTGATGTCATATCAGAGTACAAAAAGTCCACTCGAAAGCGATCTGCAAACTTTGTGGTTATTGGTGAGGCGATCTCCACTGGCGAGAAGATCTAGACCTGGACTGACTCTTAAAAATAGGTCACGTTGATGCTGGAAAGAGCACTCTCATGGGACGGTTATTAGCAGATCAAGGTGCTATCGACCAAAGGACTCTAGATAGGTACCGGCAAGAGGCTGAGAAGATCGGCAAGGGCTCATTCGCGCTGGCCTGGGTCCTCGACCAAGGGTCAGAGGAAAGAGCACGAGGTGTGACGATAGATATCGCCACCAATAAGTTTGAGACCGACAAGACAGCCTTTACGATTGTTGATGCACCAGGTCACCGTGACTTTGTCCCGAACATGATTGCTGGTGCCAGTCAGGCAGACTTTGCTGTTCTGGTCATCGATTCCAGTGTGGGTAATTTCGAGTCGGGGCTAAAGGGCCAAACTAAGGAGCACGCTCTGCTGGTACGCAGCATGGGCGTGCAAAAGATTGTGGTGGCTGTGAACAAGATGGATTCCGTGCAATGGGATCATGAAAGATTCGAGGAGATTGAACAGCAGATCTCCGCATTCTTGATAGCTGCTGGCTTCCAGAACAACAACATTTCGTTTGTGCCGTGTTCAGGAGTTCTGGGAGACAACATCTCTCGGCGGACTGACAACCCTCATGCATCCTGGTACACAGGTCGCACATTGATTGAAGAACTGGAAACCTCGGAGCCATATACACATGCCCTCGAAAAGCCTTTGCGTATGACGATTGGCGATGTCTTCCGAGGTGGCGTGCAAAACCCGCTTTCCATATCTGGCCGTATCGATGCAGGCAGCTTGCAGATGGGCGACCAAATCCTGACCATGCCCAGTGGTGAAACAGCAACAGTGCGCAGTTTGGAGGTGGACAACGAACCAAGTGACTGGGCCGTAGCAGGTCAAAATGTCGTTTTACACATCGCCAATATTGATCCTATTCACCTTCGCTCCGGCGATGTTGTCTGCCGTCCTTCATCTCCCATTCCTACCATCACATCTTTCACCGCCAAGGTTCTGGCCTTTGAGCACCTGATGCCCATGCAAGTGGATGTGCACCGTGGCCGTCTACATGTGCCTGGTCGCATCAGCAAGCTGGTTGCCTCTCTGGACAAAGCGTCCGGGGCAGCTATCAAAAAGCGCCCTAAAATCGTGGGCCCAGGTGTTGTGGTGCGTGTTGTGGTTGAAATGGATCAAGCTGTTCCTCTGGAAGCACCGACCAGGATTATCCTGCGCGCAGGAAGCTCAACAGTGGCTGCTGGTTTATTAGAATGATATTTCCAGCTTTCTCAGTCAAAACCCATCTCATTCATGATTTCCCACAAGTTCTCGTTGGTAGCACATGTAGGATTTTTGGCGGCCTTGTTAAAATATATATCATAGATATGGTACTCCATTTATCGAGCTGATCAGTCGATAATGTTATATGATTTCAGATATTATTTGAGAAACAATTTCAAGCTCAATTATTGAATGAATTATTGAATTCTGCACGAGTACGGAGTAGTGCCATTAGAGTTAGACTCATAGGCTGTATACTAAATGGCCAGGGCACGGTGATCTGTGCCACGCCCTCGGGCGATCCCCGAAACACAGGCCCGCAGTATACCCATGCTCAATCCAGATGCCACTTGTCATCAATCAAGACCGTTTCAATAGAACCATGTAGTAACACGTGGTCAGTAGCAAGGACATGAGTCAACCGGGTAAACTTGACAAAGTGAGTACGGAGTAGATCGCACGAGTTTCCTGAAGGGGGCAAACACTTGGCCCCTTCTAGCAAGTTCGATCATTTGGCAGTCGTTGATTGGTGGAAGCCCTGAGTAGTCCGTGGATATACCCCTGCCGCTAGACTACTTTGGGGGGAAACTTCCTGCTGAAGAAGGCGGTGTGGCTGCAGGGTAAGTTCTGAGTCAGCCACTGCTGGACAGAAGCCAGCCAATCAACGCTGGAGAAGTGACCTGAACTGGGAAAAGGCCAGCATGGCCGCTGGGCCGCATCCGTGTACAAGAAGTCCTCTTTCTTCGATTCTTCTCCAAACCATTCTCCCATTTCCTCACTTCGCCCCGGGTCTCTTTCCCGCATATCATCGACTAACATAAGGGTTCCTAGAGTCAAACACGCGTTGTGTTTACTCTTCTGCGCAGCTGTTTAGATCGGCAAGCGCGAAGCTTCCATAACGACAGCTTCTTTGTTTTTGTGTTGAAAAAGGACCTCGATCCACCTATACATACAACCTTCACAATGGCTCGCCTATCCGCACGCGATGGTGCGTCCAAGCCCTTCGCCTGGACCACCATCTTCTACCTTCTCTTCGTCCTCGTCGCGCCTCTTGCGTTCTTTGGAAACACTGCCAACGCACAGGAGGATAACTCCCCTGAGAGCTACGGCAATGTTATTGGTATTGACTTGGGAACCACCTACTCGTACGTTTTCTCAGGTTCAGAACCGTTGATGGTGTATGAGACGTTGCTAACTTTGAATACAGTTGTGTTGGTGTGATGCAGAACGGCAAGGTCGAGATTCTTGTCAACGACCAAGGAAACCGTATTACCCCGTCCTACGTTGCTTTCACCGATGAGGAGCGCCTCGTTGGTGACGCCGCCAAGAACCAATACGCCGCCAACCCCGAGCGCACCGTCTTCGATATTAAGTAAGCTTCCACTACACCCACCACAGCAAGAATTCAGCACTAACGCATCGCAGGCGTATGATTGGTCGCAAGTTTGATGACAAGGACATCCAGAAGGACATCAAGAACTACCCCTTCAAGGTTGTCAAGAAGGATGGCAAGCCCCAGGTCAAGGTTGACGTCAACCAGTCCGCCAAGACTTTCACCCCCGAGGAGGTCTCCGCCATGATCCTCGGTAAGATGAAGGAGATTGCCGAGAGCTTCCTTGGCAAGACTGTCACCCACGCCGTCGTTACTGTTCCCGCCTACTTCAATGATGCCCAGCGTCAGGCCACCAAGGATGCCGGTACCATCGCCGGTCTCAACGTCCTCCGTGTTGTCAACGAGCCCACCGCCGCCGCTATCGCCTACGGTCTTGATAAGACCGGTGACGAGCGCCAGGTCATTGTTTACGATCTCGGTGGTGGTACCTTCGATGTGTCTCTTCTGTCTATTGATAACGGTGTCTTCGAGGTTCTGGCTACCGCTGGTGACACTCACCTTGGTGGTGAGGATTTCGACCACCGTGTCATGGAGTACTTCGTCAAGCAGTACAACAAGAAGAACAACACTGATATCAAGAAGGACCTCAAGGCTATGGGTAAGCTCAAGCGCGAGGTTGAGAAGGCCAAGCGTACTCTGTCTTCCCAGATGTCTACTCGCATTGAAATCGAGGCTTTCCACAACGGCGAGGATTTCTCTGAGACCCTGACCCGCGCTAAGTTCGAGGAGATCAACATGGATCTGTTCAAGAAGACTCTCAAGCCTGTTGAACAGGTTCTGAAGGACGCTAAGGTCAAGAAGTCCGAGGTCGATGACATCGTTCTCGTTGGTGGTTCCACCCGTATCCCCAAGGTCCAGGCTCTTCTCGAGGAGTTCTTCGGTGGAAAGAAGGCCAGCAAGGGTATCAACCCCGATGAGGCCGTTGCCTTCGGTGCCGCTGTTCAGGGTGGTATTCTCTCCGGTGATGACTCCATGGTCGATATGGTTCTCATGGACGTCAACCCCCTCACTCTCGGTATCGAGACCACTGGCGGTGTGATGACCAAGCTCATTCCCCGTAACACTGTCATCCCTACCCGCAAGTCGCAGATTTTCTCCACTGCCGCCGATAACCAACCTACCGTCTTGATCCAGGTGTTCGAGGGTGAGCGCTCGATGACCAAGGATAACAACATGCTCGGCAAGTTCGAGTTGACCAACATTCCTCCCGCTCCCCGTGGCGTTCCCCAGATCGAGGTCGCCTTCGACCTCGATGCCAATGGAATCCTCAAGGTCAGCGCCTCCGATAAGGGCACTGGCAAGGCTGAGTCCATCACCATCACCAACGACAAGGGTCGTCTGTCCCAGGAGGAGATCGACCGTATGGTCCAGGAGGCCGAGCAGTACGCCGAGGAGGATAAGGCCATCAAGGGCAAGATCGAGGCCCGTAACGGCCTTGAGAACTACGCCTTCAGCCTGAAGAACCAGGTCAACGATGAGAATGGTCTGGGTGGCCAGATCGACGAGGATGACAAGCAGTCTATCCTCGATGCCGTGAAGGAGGTCAACGACTGGCTCGAGGACAACGCCGCCACCGCCTCCATGGAGGACTTCGAGGAGCAGAAGGAGCAGCTTTCCGGTGTGGCTTACCCCATCACCAGCAAGCTGTACGGCTCTGCTTCTCCCCCTGAGGATGATGACGAGCCCCTTGACCACGACGAACTGTAAAATTATCTTTTGAGGCATTATTCATGGAGTTCCACTTTTTTTCTCTTGCTTGAGTCACTATTTGTGTTTGAATCTACACGGGGCACTGTTTGTGTCCCATCTAACTTTTAGGCCCGGTTGAACGCCGGCTAAAAATAGAATACAATGATACCTTGCATTGTGTATTAAAGGAGCCTTTTGTAGTACCGCAGTAACGGGCAAGCTTGTATAAGTCTTTGGTCGAAGTAAATACTCTGTATGTTCTTATTGGTGACTAAATACAACATCTATTTTAGTTGTTGAGCCACGAACGCCTGAATGGTCTCTGCAACAACCTGATGATCATCCTCCTGTTTCAACCCACTAACAACAACAACACCAACAAGTCCATCAACACCATGCACGCGAATCGGGTAGCCACCGCCATGGATAGCATACTCATCCGCAACAGCACCTCCAGTGGCACTCGGAACAGCATATTTTTTAACAAAAGCAGCCTCGATCTGGTCCGCCGAGGCACCAGCCGTGAGCCCACTAATGGTCTTTTGTCTCATAGCCCAGCTCGAGACACCCCAGCGGAGCACCGTGTTGCGCTTCCGTCGTACCCAGTTCTCGTTGTCCGGGATCGTGCCGCTTTCTGTCACAGACTGAAATACCACATGGAGCGGGACTCCGCCGGCGAGTGCAATGGAGATCAGGGCGGGTTTGCGCTGTCCGCTCGGGAGGCTGAGGATTCGGTCCCTTAGTGCATTTCCTAGCTGCCAAGCGGTGTCTGCTGTGAACTTGTTGAAGATTTGGCCCGTGCTTGTTTCTTGCGCGATTAGGACTTGCGGCTGTTTCTTCATTAGCTTGCGGATTTCGGCTTGGGAGCATTGAGGGACTCACATCTGTGCTGGGTGCGGAAAGAGCCATGATGTATGAGGTTTACTTTCGGTAGGTAAATGGTGAAGAAAAGTCAAGGGTAATGGGGGAATCAAATGGTATTTCTATGTGGTGGGGATAGCAAGGGTGGACCTTCCTATCATTATATCGGTGACGTCGCCGAAATCTAGACTGTGTTATATTGATCTCGGCAACGTCTAATCTTTTTGATCTCACCTCTTTCGTATAATTTAGATCGTCATGTTCATATATATATATATCGGCAAACTTGCCGAAAATACCCCTCCACAAAATCCAACGTCTCCGCATTCCGATGTGCATCTTCATTGTCAATAACTTAGGTCTCCATGCCCCCCAAACGAGCCTGCGATACCTGTATCTCCCGCAAAGTGAAATGCAGCGGTTCTTGGCCCTGCGATACTTGTCGCAGCGCGGTAAAGCGCGTACATTGTACATACCTGAGGCCTGCGCATAGGAGGGGCCCGAAATGTCGGCGAGGAGTAAGCCATCGAGAAACCGACCTCTCGGAGATTCAATCTACAGCGAACCCGCAAAATGATCAAGAAAATACATACATGCAAAGCGCTAACGATGAGGCTGGTTCTTCATCTACCCCAGTCTGCAGCTCCGAGCGCATTCCAAAGGCAATTCTTGCGTTGGTGATCCGTCTGTATCAGCAATATTTATACGGCGTCTGGCCGGTAGTCAACGCAGAAGTACTCTTGGGCAAACTAGAGGATATGTATCCAGAAAGTCTTGACTACAATGCTGGAAACACTTCCTGTCTCATCATGGCCGTCTGTGCCGCCACGATGGCTCAGTTGCAGCTTGATCCCTTGGTAGATGGATCCCGGACAGTGGATAGCACGACAATGGCTCAAACCTGTCTACGAATGCGTTCAATTTGTGATAGCCATGGAGCAAATCTGAACCTCAGAAGCGTTCTAGTGTCCTTCCTTTTGCATGTGTACCACGCCAAGGTCAACCAACAAACCTCGGCAATGATGTTCATCCAAGAAGCTATGGCCGGGGCTCGTATTCTGCGATTGAATGAGGGGTCCTCACACGAGGAAGATGAGTTTATTACAAACAAGGCTTTGGTCTTTCCCTTGCTCTGGGTATCAGAGAGGTACGCTGGAACCCATGAATTCACAGAGTAACCTATTAACTTTCTACAGAGGCTACTCCCTGCACTTGGGTCTCTCCCCTTCATATGTTGACCCACCTGAATTGATAGATTTGGAGACAAATACGAATGTCGATGTTCATGCCCAAGGGTTGATCGAGCTCGTAAAGCTCTTTATTACATTTGATCAAATCTCCGTAAGGCGCAACTCTCGTCCTGGGATTACCATGGCTGCATATCTGACCGACACCGAGGCGAAGCTCGCCTCGCTATGCTTCAGCATGGCCAATCATATTTCAACCCGAACGGCAGACTATCACATCACACGGGAGTGGATGAGGACCATTCTCTGGCAGGAGGCACTCACTATGGGCTTGCTGTCTTCTTCAGCATGCACATCCGTCATGGGGTTTGGGTTTCCAGCCCAAGTTGGTCGTGCCTTATTGCGGTCCTTACGTGGATTCAGCGAGACGGATTTGCTCCCACTGGGACGAGACCAGGTTAGTGGGCTTCATATGAAGGAAACACAGGCTATGTCTGACATACTTTTGCAGTTATTGAAATGCTTCGAAGTCGCTAACTCGTTGGCGGACACGGTGCTTTTGTCCCCACACCAAATAGGTTCTCGGCTCGAACTAGGACCACCGGACTTTCTGCATGCATTGTACCAGAAGATTGTCCCTTTTCTCGAGCAGGATACTATGTTAAAGTCAATTCTTCGTGCTAAAACTGCTGAAGCCCTAGTCGCGGCTCCAGCTCGCCTGCTGACAGCCGGGGAGGAAGATATAGGCCTGCACTTGGGCGAAAATGGACCCGGTGGTCAATCTCAGATTTCCGGGTACATACCAGATAGCGAGCTTCATGAGCAGAACGAATTGACACTGGATTTCTTGGATTGGCTACAACTATCGCCTCTTCAGATAATCTAACATAAATATCGATGACAGTTACACCAAATCATTCAGCGATCTGAAGGACGATCCGCCCCGAAATATCACCCTTCTCCATCTCCTCATATATCTGAGGCAAATCTTTGAACGGCCGCACCTTGACCACAGGATTAACAATACCACGTCGTACCAGATCAACAGCTTCCATGCATTCCTTCAGAGAGCCCACCAGATTACCCGTGATCTTGAGGCCCTTGATCACAATCGTACAGATAGGAGTCTCCAAGCTCGGTCTTCCCGGGGGAATACCAACACAACTCAAAGTACCACCGACCCGCAGCATATCACAAGCATGTGCAAACGCCTTTGCATTACCAGCTGTCACTACAGCAGCATGTGCACCCAAATCAGTAATCTCTTGCACTCTCTTGACGGGGTCTTCGGTGGTAAAGTCGATAAATTCCTGTGCACCGAGCCCTTTGACAAAGTCTCCCTTACCGGGACCAGTGTCGACACCAATTACCAGGGCCCCCTGAGCACTTGCATATTGAACTGGACACTGTCAGCCGATTGCAACTTCGCCTCACCAGCTTAGCCACAAAAAAGGAATACATACCAGCCAAGTGTCCGAGGCCACCTCCGGCCCCAACCACAACCAGCCAATTCCCAGGACGAACATTCGCATTCAAGACGGCCTAATCAGATACCAATTAACACCAAGTCGCAAACAAAAGATCCCCAACCCACTTTATAAGCAGTCAAACCCGCACAAAGCACCGGCCCTATAACCTTCGGATCAACATCATCAGGCAAAATCGTCAAGTAATCTGCATCGAGCGCAATATACTGCTGAAAACAGCCATCCTCATGATGCAGATGGTTCGTACTCGCAACGCAGTACTGCTCTGTACCCGCAAGACAAAACTCGCAGCGTCGACAGATGCGGCTCGCGAACCGGATCCCGACCAGCCCGCCGACTTTCAAACCCGCAGCGTGCGTGATATCCGGTCCAAGCGCGACCACTCGGCCGACGCCTTCATGGCCGCCCACGTGTGGCAGTTTGATCTTTGTTATCGGGTTGCCGTCTGGTCCGGCTGCGGTGCCTGCTTTGGTGTGTAGATCTGCTGGAGTGTTAGACCAGGTCTTGTTGAGAGATACCATACTGGTGGGAGCGCCGGTTGGGTTTGACGGTATACATACCGCTCTGGCAGACCCCAGTGTAGAGCACTTTGGCGAGGACTTCGTTGCGTCCCGGGATTGGCACGGGGTAGTCTGTTTTGAACTCAACTTGGCCGCCCAGTGAACGGACGAGAGCGACTGTTTGGGTCTGTGGAATGCTGAGGGAGCCCATTGTGATTTGGATATTAACTTGCCGAGGAGATATTGGATGGAATATGGAGTGTGTTTTGAAGAGACTGGATTCTGGGTATCCATACGAGCGACATGGCCATATTTATATTTAGATCTTGAGTCTACATTGGAATACTGAGGATGGATCGTGGGATGTCATGTCATCAATGAACCACAATATTCCGAGTACACATCAAGTGATGCGTGGGATGTACTCTTCGAGCGGGGAAAGTTGTTCTGCATTGCAAGTTAGTTCTTCAATCCAGGCCAAACATCAGATATCAGTGGTGATCTCGTGCGATGAGAACTAGACGGTGCTGCGCGTAGATGTGGATATCAAGCCACGCTCGGATAAATAGAACAGGAAGTGTCGTTCACTATTGGTAGTCGGACCAGCAAAAAGAACATGGACGTGCCACTGCATGAAGTCATGCTAATTCTCCGAGTCAATTCTCCGAGTCAATTCTCCGTGAGTTCGGGGGGGGGGGGGGAGGCAATGCAGATCTCCTCACCTAGTACAAATAGAAAAGAAGAGAATCTGTGTGTTCGATTAACTATCTGACCTTGGGGAGCCTGTCCCCTTTTTTCTCTTTTCTTGAAATGTCACGCTTTAAATCGCTATTCACAAGCAAATCGGGGTATTTACAATCGCAATAATTTCAGTTCCCGTCCGGATGCGCCATAACCTCACCAGAAACGCCGAGAGCAAGAAACCAGAGTCAAATCCCCGAAACACCATCCCTTACGTATGTACAATGCAAAGCCGAAAGCCCTGGCTAAAAGAAAACAATCGTAATCCAGATAGTCATGTACCCTCGGAGAAATATCAGGTATTCGTTAAAAGAATTAAACCTCATCCAGATGGACTGCGCGGGCATAAGAACCCTTTGTTGGACTCATAGGTGATATGTGTGAATTTCCGGTCTCGATATCCCTATGTGCCCTGTGGGCATGAGGAGTGGAGTGGGGAGAGGTGAGCGGAGAGACGAACAGCTCGCCGTTCTTCTTGCGCATCCAGTGTACGCGCAAGTGATCGAGGGCGGTCTTGAAATCGTCGAGGATGACTGTGTCACAGAGACATTTGAAGATGAAAGATAGCTGGGATGGTTAGGGACGTAGAAGATGGAAGATGGAAGATGGAAGATGGAAGATGGGAGATGGGAGATGGGAGATGGGAGATGGGAGATGGCGGACTTACTTTCCAAAAGGGCTCGACACCTGTTGGGAGCGAGGTGGAAAAGACATTCAGCACGCTGCAGGTATCGACAATCATGAAGATAATTGACAGGCACATTGCCCCCAGCATGATTCCGAAGCGTGGGCTGACTACTACTAGCTCCCATAATCCGAAGTTGTATTCGCGCTTAATCGTCCAGAACAGGCTGGCCGTGGTGAAGATCCACCATGGGTCGCTATTAACAGAATGACGTTAGGATGGACGGGAGTCAAATATCAAGGAAGCCATCGGTCGGGAAGGACGAACCGGAATAATGGCTCCATTGGCCTAGTCGTCAAGAAAATCTTATTGATATTGTTGAAGTATGTGAAGTTGGCGTAGATTTCCAGACCCCAATAGGGCCAGCAGAGAATCACCGTGACAATATAGACGATCGAGACCTTTCGCGATAGAAATGGGCGGTTCTTCATCCAGGCGATAACGTTATGCAGGGCCCAGGAGATGTTCAGGCCGATCGCGGTCACGGAGAGATACCAGCCGTAGACCGGCTCATGAGGGAAGATGAAAGTACCATGGGCCATACCCAAAATGAGCTACAGTGTAGAGATTAGTGCCAGTCCCCACCAATGACTGGAGGGTTTTCCGTTCACCTACCTCGGCGAAGATCAGTTTATGCAGGAGAATATGTGACTTCATATTGGCAAGAGTGATAGCGGCCATAATGAGCAGACTGCCGACCATAAGGCCCTGACCCCAAGCTTCGAGGATCAAGGCATCAGGGTCGGTGGGCTTTGCAATGTGATCGGTACCCATCGTGGACTTGTATTCATGTCCAGTGTGGTAAGGGTTAAATCAGGAGCGAATGAGAAGAGTGGAGAGTGGAGAGAGATGAAGCGCACTCCTCAAGACATGTCATAAAAAGAGCCTCGCACAAACGCGACATAGGGTTCCAAGTGAACAGGGAGGAGATTTATAATTTATAAAGGGACTCCGCACGGCAATTTCGACCGTAAGATATTCCTTGGCTAGTAATTCGCACGCGCCACTAGGTTGTAGGGGGAAGGCTAAGATCACAGAAGACTCCCGGACTGTACGTCGAGGCCATGGCCCTATGAAAAGCCCCATAAATCTCCATATTTTCCAAAGGATTCATCCCCCGCCCTTGGATGTCCGTGCCGAGTAAGGTGGCGTACGTTATATACGGGGGTTGAGCCAAGCTAAGTGTTTTGGGGGGGTTTTTTTTGGCCTTCCTTTTTATCACAAAGAGGGTTAGGGTCAATTTAACCAAAAAGACAAGAAAAAAAAGGAAATGAGTAAAATGATATAAGAAACTTTAAAATCCCCGGTATTTCCCCGTCACTAACCTCGTTTAGGGATCGAGAGACGTTTTTCTACCCATTGCTCCACAGGTTCTTGGGGACTTGACTGCCGTGAAGTCTGGGGTAATGGAGCATTTACCGTATACCAGTGAACATTTATGTGAAAGGATATACAATTGAAATACTTTCGCCACGTTTCTTGGCGCTCTCTCATTTCGGTGTAAGCTCCGTGATACCGTTCTAGTCAACGGACTATCCTAATTTAGCTTGCCAATGCGGAGTACAAGACGATATAACCACGCCTAGTGCGAAGAATAAGAGGCAATCAACCCTGACATAACACGCCCTTCTCATCAGACTATGGACATGTTTCATACGCGTTTGATATAGGAAAAAGAAAAGACCCAATTTCAAACATGTTAGGCGCCTAAGGCCGCCCACGGCCGAGGTGCTAGATCGTTCCCCTTTTCTCCCCTTCTCTCTATTTACGTACACTAGCATTTCCCCCAAGTCTATAGTTTAGTGAAAGAAAAATGACGATGGATTTTCTCCATGTTAATATCTGGAGTCCGCTTCCTAGCCGTCTCCTTCGCGGCATGACCCCTATTCAAGAAAATGTTTGTAACCCCAATTTTTGATTGGGAGACTTTCTTCCGACGGTCTGCCCGATCATTGGTTCATAGTGGACGTCGGCTTCTTGCGGTGATGTACGGTATTAAGCTAGCCTGGTCCTTCACATATGACGGCATTGTAGAGCTCGGACTTGCGAACTGATTATGAATAAGCGCTAGGGGGCTATAGATAAAGCAGCACGGTTCCGATAAAAACTGCCTTGGGATAGATTTTTCGGTCCCTGACCGTTTGATATCCCATGGCAGTGATTGTGTGCAGTCGTTTCTCACTTGAGGTACATATTCTTGAAGTGATACTTCATGTTGACCGTTGACATGTCCAAATCCAGCTAGGACTGACCAGGTAGGGTCTGAATAAACCATGCATTTCAAAAATTTCTCACTTTGTACATACCCTCTCTTGGACAATCTGACTTTGCTCTGAGCCTATTAAGGCTGTGAAGCCGGAGAAGCGACCGTCTGCTCAGCAGATTCTCGAATCGGCATGGACGACACACGTCGAAAAGAGGGCAATACCCCGTTGTCGCACGACTGCCGGAGATTTCGACAATGTTCACCTGAAACCCACAGCCAGGGAAACCGCAATTGATCGTCACGCTGATCGTTCAACTCGAGCCTTGACTGTGGGCAACAGTCGCATCTCGATCGGTAATATTCTCATGATCTATACCCCGTGCCGTCTTGTTAGTTCCCGTGCTGGCGTTGATTACTTCGGAACATCTGCCGTGAATCGCACATACCACACTTTATCAATCTGATCAAGGGCTATACATGTGGAGCAATGACGATCGCCAATGCTATTTATTCGTAGTTCCACAATTCGGAAGAAGATGGAAGTTGGTGGCCAACCTGGTTGGGCAGTGGCTTCGTCGCAAGCCCACTTGGCTCCGCCGATAGAAGGCCGGTAGCAGGGTAATGATCTTCAGGGCTGCAATTTACTGAAGTTTACATGGCAGGAATCAGATCACTCCTTATTGATCCTGCTGTCGCTCTTTACTTTGACATTCCTTTACTGGGCTATATAGTACGAGTGACTCCGTTTGAGTCGTTCTTTAATTTGCTATGGCCCCGTGGTGGTACACGGCAGGCAGCGCCCTGGTTCTGTCACTCCAGGTGACTGCCTGGGACTATTCAACTTACAGCTCGATCGACTTCCAGCCGCCGAAGCTCGAAGTCAACAAGACCGGAACTGCGCATTCTGGCTACATCTTCCTCGGTCCTCGTGGAGACGTCCAGGACACTGGCTCCGCTGCGCTCATTTATGACGATGCGGGGGATCTCGTATACGAAGGCCCTGAAGGTGTGACTGCCAACTTCATGGTGCAAAAGCTCTTCGGCAAGGATGTTATCACCTTCTGGGCCGGAGACATGATGTCCATCGGTTACGGTTATGGAACCGTGCACATCCTCGACGATACCTACAAGGAGATCTACACTGTCCAACTGACAGGCGACTTTGTCACTCCGGACGGCTCAAGCAAGGACTCATACTGTGACATGCACGAGAGCCGAATCACTTCCCGCAACACCCTCATTTGCACCGCCTACAACGTCACTCAGCATGACCTGACTTCTATCAACGGCACATCCTCCCAGTGGATGCTGGACAGCCAGTTCTACGAGATCGACATCCCTACCAACCAGGTGGTGCACTCATGGAGTGCACTTGGCCATGAAGCTGACATCCCCCTGACGACCTCTCACCAGGGCCTTGGAAAGGATGTCGGTACCCAGGATGCCCCCTATGATGCCTACCACATAAATTCCATCACCACCACCAATCATGGCTATCTTCTCTCGCTGCGCCACATGTGGTCCGGCTACTATATATCCCAGAACGGCAGCGTGATGTGGCAGGTTAGCGGCGAGGACGGGACTGACTTCAAGCAGATTGGCAATGCCGAATTCTCGTGGCAACATGACATGCGCGTCTACAACGAGACAGACGACGGCCTCATCATGAACCTGTTTAACAACGCCAACACACCCACCGACGAAGAGTCCGAGTCCACTGGCATCAGCTTGGCTATTGACTTGGACAAAAAGACCGTCACCGGCCTCCGCTCCCTGACCGACCCCAGCGATCCCATCCACTCTGTCAGCCAGGGCAGCTATCAGCTCCTCAGCGAAGTGGACAGCCATGCTTTCCTGGCCTACGGCTCCATTTCCAAGGTTAAGGAGTTTGATGGTGAGGGTAACGTCGTCTTCAGCGCTCAGTTCGGTGACGACAATGCCGTTGCCTCTTACCGCGGCTACCGCTACGAGTGGACTGCTACTCCCTTCTGGAAACCTTCCGTATCGGTCAAGAGCACCAGCTCCGGTGCCACCATCTACATGAGCTGGAACGGTGCTACCGAATATGACAACTGGGTTATCTACGCGGCTTCCTCTGCCACCTCTACCAACAATACCCAGATCGCCACGGCTAAGCGCACTGGCTTCGAGACTTCTGCTACTCTTACCGACCCTCCTACCAATTTCCTTCAGGTTGTCGCTCGCAAGGGTACCACCGTTCTTGCCACCTCTGAGATTGTCTCATTCTAAGCGGGTCTAGGATGTGTTTTGATTGGCAACTTATTTTTACTCGTCCTATTCAGGGCTGCTCTGGTGACCGTTTTTTGATTTTTGTAATATGGGCTTTGATGCCTCTCTATCTTGTATACATGGTAGTTTGGTCGCACAAATTATATCATCGCTTTCTTGCTGTACATACCTGGCGTTTGAATTTACAAAATGTTTCTTGGCACATCTTGATCTCAAGTAGGATTTCGAAGGGCCGAAAGTTTGCCATTCACCTCAGCAGAGTGTTGCCGTTTGAAAGGTTAGATCTAGATACCATATAGCCATGTCAATCCTTGGGCCATTTGGCAAATGCAAACACAACGATATCCCTAGCTCCTCCACTCCGAATCACAGTATCGTGTTACATCTATCAAAATTTTCCTATGCCACACAATAGCCGTTAGGTCTGTCTCACCATGTTTCGCCAATGGAAACCGGAGATGTCGCCAATGATTTCACAAATGAGCAACCAGGCTTTTTAGCGTGCCACATGAACCACGTCGAGTTTGTTCTGTTCCGCAAGTCCGTTCTCTGTGCCAGGGCCATCTGGGGTATATAGCTTCATCCTCGGCTACTGAAGCTCCCTATCTAACATTCTTCCTTTCAAATTCAAAATATTCTTCGTGTAATTTCGCTATAGAAGGCTCACATTCCTCAGTAAATATGAACGCTTTTAGAACGCCACGGTTGCCCTAGTCAAGGGGGCTTTCCATGCTTGTCCATGCTTGTTTGCCCATTTTTATCATGCCCAGACTTTCGGATAGTATCAACCGGCCTATTCAGAGCGTGTCATGCTGTCTACGGGTGTAACTGACTATAAAGGTTGTTGAAGAAGCATAATTGAAGCTTCAGCTCAGTCTAAGCAATGACTATTGGTTCATTTTTAAAAAGGATTATACCTGGAGGTAGCGGGCCAGTCACATTCTTCAATATCTTTGATCAGACACGAATCAAATATCCGACGGTTTGGCTCTTCTCATCCTATCTTCGACGCACGATATAAAATTAAAGGCCCGTTACATTCCTGACCGGAACCACGAGAATCCCAGAAATCAATATCACCAAATAGGGAAATGGTGACATTCTTTATATCCTTCGGCTGGACAATCGGATGTGTCTCCGATTTGGCTACTACATTGCGATACTTTCACACCCCTTCATTTTGCACTACATCTACATTGCACAGCATAACTTGGCGTCCAATTTCCCCTGAGCCAAGATTCATAGCAAATTTCTAAGAGCATGGTCTCCGCAATTAATTAGATTCAATGGCCTATGCTCGCAGTGCAACACAGCAACACGGGGAATGATACCAGACACAGGACAGAAATGTCTATATAAAGCTGTCCTAAATTCCTGATTCTAAGACAAGGCATCACTGAAGAAAGAGTATTCCCAACAGCTCCACAAGCAAGCAAGATGTATCTCTCATCTATCCTCCCCCTCCTCTCGCTCACCACCCTCGCCTTCTCGAGCCCAACAATCCAGAACAACCCGGACTCAAGAGAAATACCTCACGGCACCTTCCCCTCCGGCAATGGCCAAGTGATGCCAACCAGCACGCCACCGCCGGCACACCGACATCTCGGCCACGCGATAGTGCAAAACAACTGCCATTTCCCCATCTACATCTGGTCGGTGGCCTCCACGGTTCTACCCAAGCGAACCCTCCTCCCAAACGACCAGTACACGGAGCTCTTCCGCGAAAACCCCGACACTGGCGGCATCGCAATCAAGATCAGCACCAACAGTGAGGGGCTGTACACCAGTGCTCCGCAGATGATCTTTGCGTACAACCTCTCCTCGTCAAAGGAACGGGGCCAGAGACAGGATAAAGTGTGGTACGATCTCTCCGATGTCTTTGGAGATCCGTTTGTGGGCTACACGGTGAATCTTGCGCCTGCTGAACCGGCGATCTGCTGGAGGGATGGGGTTCCGCCTGCTGGGAGTCAGGTGAGGGTTGTTGATTCTTCGACGGATTTGATCTTGTCGGTTTGTGGAGACCGGGTTTAGCTTGGGGGTGAGATGGAGTATAAATATTATGTTTGGATTGTTCTCGTAGGATACGTTAGTGCTCAATTAAAATTGAATTATTTGACTTTCAAGATTCCATTAGCACTCATGTCACGGATGTATAATTGATCAATGTTTCAACCTCGGCAGAATATAAATCAATTACATAGATTCGTCTCCATTTTGGAGAAGTCAAGAAAATTTGAAGAGTGAATTTCCCAATAGGCAAGTAATCAGAGAATCATCTCGGCCAGAAGTCCGGGGCATTTCCCCGCATTTCCCCAATTTGTCCCACATCAGGTGACCTCCACTGCTCTACTTCTTTACTCTCCGACTCTCTTCTCATACAACGAACTGCATACACACAAAAATGGTTTCTCCAGCTGTCAGAGTCGCCCCCTCGGCGGCCAATCGCGCCCTGAACTTGCTACGCACGGTGCAATACACCCACCCACCCAACTGCCCGTGCCACAAGAACCCCAACCACCACCATAACCACAAGCAAACCCCATCTCTGCTCAACCATGTGAAGCGTCGCATGTCCACACCCGTGGATCGCTCGCGCGAGAAGGAATATGCCTTTGAGATGGCTGCATCTAGCATTCGCTTCGGACCTGGCGCAACCAAGGAGGTCGGAATGGACTTTACCAACCTCGGCGCTAAGCGTGTGTGCATTGTCACCGATACCAATGTCGCCAAGCTTGATGCTATGAAGCAGGCTGTTGAGGGTCTTACCCGTGAGGGCATTGAGTTTACTATCTTCGACAAAGTGCGCACCGAGCCCAAGGATAGCTCGTAAGTCAACCCCTAGCTTTTAAGTGTGGGCTATTGTATAGGTTCTAACATGTTATTAAATTTAAGTGTAAAAGAGGCTATCGCTTTCGCTAAGCCCTATAAGCCCGATGCCTTCCTGGCTGTCGGTACGTGTCTCCCTTATCCCCCAGCACCTGGTATATAAAAACTAACACCAAAACAGGCGGTGGCTCCGTAATCGACACCGCCAAACTGATGAACCTGTACACCGTCTTCCCCGAAGCAGACTTCCTCGACTTCGTCAACGCACCCTTGGGCAAAGGCCTCCCAGTAGACAAGCCCCTTCTCCCCCTTGTTGCCGTCCCAACAACAGCAGGCACAGGCTCGGAGACCACAGGCACAGCGATTTTCGACCTAGTCTCCAAGAAAGCCAAAACAGGCATTGCCCACCGGAACATGAAGCCAACTCTCGGAATCTGCGATCCGCTCAACACCCGCACCATGCCCTCAGCCGTGGCTGCCGCCTCCGGCCTCGACGTCCTCTGCCACTCCCTCGAATCCTGGACCGCAATCCCATACAACGAGCGCACCCCGCGCCCAACAAACCCTATCAACCGGCCTGCCTACCAAGGCGCAAACCCCATCTCTGACATCTTCTCCCTCGCGGCCTTGCGCGCCACAGTCAAGTACCTGCCGCGCGCAGTGCGCGACCCAGACGACCACGAAGCACAGTCAGAGATGCTGCTCGCGGCTACCCTCGCCGGCGTCGGCTTCGGAAATGCAGGCGTTCATCTCTGCCACGGAATGAGTTACCCCATCTCCAGCCAGAATCCTGGCTATAAGCATGCGGGCTATGAGGTCGATCACGCAATTATCCCACACGGCGTGTCTGTGGCTGTTACCGCGCCTGCCGTCTTCCGCTTCACCGCAGCGTCGAACCCTGATCGCCATCTTGCCGCGGCTGAGGCGTTTGGTGTGGATATCTCGAATGTTAAGCGCGAGAGTGCGGGTGAGGTGCTTGGCGATGCGATTGCGCAGTTCCTTGTTACGCTTGGTGACCAGCCACGTGGATTGAAGGATCTAGGTTTCAAGGCTGCGCATCTGGAGGGATTGGTGGATGGAACTATTCCACAGCAGCGCGTGCTTATGCTCGCGCCAAATTTGAGTAAGGAGTTAGAGGCTGAGAGGGGTGAGTTGAGGAGCTTGCTGGAGCAATCATTGGATTATTAGGGTAGTAGATACATCTAAATTCAAATGGATATCTGAGTTGTTCCTTTGTTCATGTTGGGGAGGGGAAATAGAGTGTAATGCTGTGTGGTAGGGGGAAGTTCATCCTAGGCCGGCTAGGAGCAGAGATCTTTCGTATCACATGTCATGTTAACGCAGGAATCATTGCTGACTATTCCGGCTCCAATAATTAAGGTGAGCTCTCCATCTGTAGGGAAGCACTCGAGGCCTCACCCGGGAGGACCTTTGCGCCGAGGGCACCCATCGAGGAGGCTATGCGATCCAGCCAGATCACAGCACGGGGGTCATTTGGATCAGAGGTCCTAGATGGCCCCTGTCCAAGCTCTGAATGAATGCGAAAGGGGAGGGGAAAGTTCTTGGACGTCGCAGAAAAGGGAGATATGGGATATTCACTATCGATGCTGGGTGGCGTGACGACATACGACTCCGGTGAATAATCTTCGACGAGACTAAAGCGTAACCGGTCTTCAAGACGGTGGGAGAGCTGCTGTAGCGTCTCCAACATATTTTCTGCTCCATTGAGGAGCAGCGATGGACCGGTGTCCGGGAAGACTTCTGGTACGGGGCCCACGAAAGATCCTGGTCGCTGGATGATACCTTGCTGGCGTTCACTGTGCGCGCTGATACAGGACCGGAGGTCCGCGGCGAGTGAGCGCAGCCGGTTCGAAGTGTCATGTATGCGCTTGGTGAGATTTGTGATGGCATTTGGGTCCGGCTCGGCGGAGGCTGAAAGGAGATTGCGGGTGTCGCTGATATACCGTGGGCATTTGGCGATTTCCATGAAAGCCAAGTCGGATATTTCTCCGTACACCGACCACTCCCCAGGCTTCTGGCGGTCTTCGGTCCTGACTTTAGTCGCGTAGGATTGCCATTCCTCTTGATCCAGAAAGCAGGGTTTGCCTTCGTAGACTGCGGTGGCGATGAAGAAGCCACGGAATGCAATCCAGCAGTATCTTCCAAACCCGGACTCGTGCGCTTCTGGGCCTCGGCTTATCATCAGCCGCTTGGCACCGTCGGAGTGCACGACCCAGGCGTCGGGCGTGGTCTGTGCGTACATCTCGTAGACACTGAGGATGATAGAGGTGCATAGCATGTTGTCGGATTTGGCATGTTCGGCTTTTGGGAAGGCCCTGATGACCGCACCGAGCGACTTCGAGTACATTTGTCGACTTGTTTTGAGAAGAGCCCGATCTTGAGTCAAGTGTGCTAAATAGACTGAGCTCAAGCAGCAGATCGCGGAGTCGAGGTAAACGTCTTTGCCAAAATTCATGACGATGTATTCTGCGAACCCGGGCGCATCACCAGACCGGAACCGATTATGATAATAGAGGGTTGGAAACGACGTGCTGATGAAATCGAGGAATAATTGTGGTTGTGCGGCACGGAATGATTGGCGCACCAGGGACGGCGACAGCTTTTCCTCCCAGCCACCCAAGGAGGAGTGTCGCCGCATGAGGGCAATCGCATTGCCGCGCACTACAACGGCAGCAGCGGAGTCATCCTGTGCGGGGGGCGATCGATCAGTTGGGGTTGCAGGCGTAGCCGATGCGGGTGGGCCTGCCAATGCGCCTCTCCCCCTCCGTTGCGTGTTGGAGCGATGTCGCCGGGCGAGGTTGGGACCCTCATCTTGAAAGCGAAAGGTTCGCCTGTAACCCGGACAGGCGCGACCATATTTCTGGCACTGGCTGCACTCTGGGACTACCTCGTCACACTATGGACTTTATTAGCCCGAGAGCCTCAAACTTACTTGGATGGAAATTGACCTTAATTCGTCGCTCGCGACACAGGGCACAGCCTGTACTGTGCGGAACTCCCACCATGGTATCAAGACCGAGAAGATGTCATCACGGGGCAGAAGGCTCGGACTTATGTACCCATTTTCCGGGGGTCAAGTTTCATGAAGAGCTGAGTAGAGCTAATTTGAGGGGGAATTAAAGAGGCTGTCAGCTCTAGGATGTTGTAACCGTCGACATTTTGCCAAGCCTCAAAATGGCTCTGCGGGGAAAAGTCGTTTCAGGTTCTGGATCTTCAGAGATCCATCACCTTTTTTACTTGGACCTTCGACTCTCAAATTCAGGTCCTCCTTTGTTAAAAAAAAATCCCTTCTCTTCTTCAGAATTGCTCAAAAACTACAGGAAGGCCGGGGGTTCGCCTCAAGGTTAAATGCAGATCCCGAGGTTCCCAGGATCCTATTCCCAACATTCGGTAACCCCCTATTTATAAATTGCGATATTCATGCAGGCCGAGGAGAAACTCTTCTCGTGGCTAAAGTAGTATCTCCTAGTCACCGACTCATTATAGCCGACTTGCCGGAAACGCCGTGGGTCGTCTTCCAATAATAAGGGCGTTGGGAGGTAAAAATACTGCGATGGCAACCGACCTCCCACGAGCACTCTGGGTAGTCATATGATCACGTGATCTTACCTTGTATCAATAATGAACATTGACAAAACTTGGCGATAACTTTCATAATGGAGAACTTTGGATTGCTGGTGCTCTCTTGCAAACCTCCCCGATATCTTATTTCCGGCGAGACTTTCCTGCCCAGTCTGTGGATAAGAAATGGATGTTTCTGGGATTGACACTTCTTTCTTCGTTGGCCACGAGTCAAAAGGAGAGGATTCCGGTCTCTTGGCATCGGACAATTGGTGATCTTCCAGACCATCCACTCCTAGTAACGGCGCCTTCCCAGCGAAAAGCCATGGGAAACAAGGCCTTGACTGAAAGATGCATGATCTGGCTTTTAAACCAACAGCATATGGCATTGATGTTCAGCAAAATATGGAGAAGGGGGGAGAGGCGGAAGTATGACATGAAGACGGGAGAGTGGATATGAAATCGAATGAGATTGACTGAGCGTAATCACACTGAGAGTACCTCATCCTGGGGGTACCTTGTAGATGCTTCCAATGATGGCAGTTGTACCCCGCGTTCTGTACACCTGGACATATTGTATAGAGAGGGTGATTGGACAAAGATGAGAGAGCGCGCCTGCCGCGGGGAGCTTGGGATTCAATGGCTTAAATTGATCCCGTCTTTGTCTTTCTCTTTTCCCTTCATCAAGTGAATTGAATCATGCCTCTTCTAAGAGCATCTCGTCCCAAGGTCCTTGTGCCAGAAAAGCTGTCGCCAGATGGACTGGCTCTTCTGCGCAGCTCACTGGATGTCCATGAGCGAAAAGGTCTTAGTGCCGATGAATTACTCGAGATAATCCCCGATTACGATGCCCTTCTCGTTCGTTCCGAGACCAAGGTCACTGCAACTGTACTACAGGCTGCAAAAAACCTAAAGGTTGTAGCGCGTGCTGGTGTTGGAGTTGACAATGTTGGTATGTTTGAATTTTGTTGTACGGCGGGGAGTTATTGATCGTTGTATAGATGTCGAGGAAGCTACAAAGCTCGGAATTGTTGTTGTCAACTCACCTTCGGGGAATATTGGTGCTGCAGCTGAGCATACTATTGCGTTGATGATGTCCATGGCGAGGAAAATCCCCGAGAGCTGTGCTAGTCTCAAAGATGGGAAGTGGGAACGAAGCAAGTTCGTCGGCGTGGAAGTCAAGGGGAAGACATTGTCCATCGTTGGATTGGGAAAGGGTAACTATCCCTCAATTGATTTTAGAAACATGATTTGACCGTGCATTATACTAGTGGGATTGACAGTAGCACGACTGGCCAAGGGGTTGGGCATGAATGTGAATGCCCTCGATCCATATGCATCCCCGGCAGTTGCAGCTTCGGCTTCGGTCACCCTCGTATCCTCGCTCCCGGAGCTGCTCACATCTGCTGATTTTCTAACGATTCATACACCTCTCATTGCCTCAACTCGAGGAATGATCGCCGAAGCCGAACTGGCGCAGCTGAAGCCAGGTGCCCGGGTATTGAATGTAGCTCGGGGAGGTACATTTGATGAGGAGGCATTGCTTGCCGCACTAGAATCAGGCCATCTTGCTGGTGCTGCTATCGATGTGTTTACTTCAGAGCCTCCTGCTCCTGGTTCATCTGCGGCACGATTAATCGCTCACCCACGAGCAGTCGTCACACCGCACCTCGGTGCCTCGACAGTAGAGGCGCAAGAGAATGTTTCAGTCGATGTGTGCGAACAAGTGCTTGAAATCTTGCAAGGGTCGTTGCCACGCAGTGCTGTCAATGCGCCTCTCATCCTGCCCGAGGAATACAAAAAGTTGCAGCCATTTGTACGCCTGGTCGAAAAGCTGGGCAGTCTGTATACTCAGCACTATGCAGCTTCTCCTGGCGGAGCAATGAGCAGAAACACCTTCGATCTGATCTATCAAGGCGAGTTGGCAAGCATCAACAACACGAAGCCGCTCTTCGCTGCTTTGATCAAGGGCCTTCTTTCTCCTATCAGCAGCATGGAGGGACTCAATATTAATATCGTCAACGCTGAGCTGGTGGCTCGCGAACGTGGCATCTTTGTCTCCGAGCAGCACTCTCGCGACCCATCAGACCACTCGTCCTATTCGTCGCTGGTCACTCTTGTTGCACGTCCACCTTCTCGGGCATCATCCCGAGCTCCAGCTTCCGGTGACACGTCTGCTGGGTCCATTCCCGACCAACAGCAGCGAATTATTTCTGGCACCTGCTCCGGAGATCAGCCACTGATCACCCGCCTGGGTCGGTTCGAGGCTTCTTTTGAGCCAGAGGGGACCTTGTTGATTTGCGAGAATTATGATTCACCGGGAAAGATTGGTGTTGTTGGTAACATTCTTGGTCAAGAAGGGGTCAATATTAATTTCATGGCTGTTGCCCCTGTCTCAACCAAGCTGGCCTTTAATGAAATCCCAAAGAAGTCCCTTCCCACCGATGGCTCTGAAGAATCCGCAAAGGGTCAATTACTGAAGGAAGCACTGATGATTCTCGGCATTGACAGAAGAGTTCCTGCTCACGTTACCGCTGCTTTGGCCAAGGAAACTGGAATATTGACTGCATGCGCTGTCACCCTTTGATTCAACATCCTATGCTTGCGCATTGATTGGTGAATGTTGCCGGGTAATGGAGGGATTGGTGTTATGATTACTCAAGGCCTTTGAAGCTGTCTTTCAACCATGGCAGGTCTTTACGTCCTTAACACATTCGTTAATACATACCTTTGGCAATGAACGCCCAGTACAATCTATAATCTACCAACTTAGGGCACTTCCTATAACCCCAACTCCAATCCTCTTTTGATCTTTCTCCCTCGGTCCTCTAATGACGGCTCTCTTCCCTTTTCGGCCCTTCTTCTCACTCTTATTCCCTCGCCCTTCACTTCAACGTCTTCCCTCTTTGACTCATTCCTCTACATCTCAAAATATATTTATATCCCCTTCTCTCGCCTCTTTTTCCTGTCAATTCCTGTTTCTCATCTATTTCCTAATATCCTGTCACCTTTGCTTGCCTCTTACAATCCTTCTCTCTATCTCTCTCGAGGTATAAATGTATTTATACCCCTTTCCTTCCCTTCTTATCTCTCTCCCGATTCTTCCCTCTACACCTACAAAGGTAAAGACAACTATAAATATCTCCTCTGTCGAACTCTTTCTCTCTTCCCGTCCTCCCTTCCTCTATATCTCAAAAGGTATTTATATCCCTATTCCCACTTCTTTCCACTCTTTTCATTCTCCCTCTCCCCCGCGCTTCCTCGGTATTTCCTCTTTGATCATGATCTCAATATATTTCAGCATTATGGACATTGAGACCGACTATAGTGGAGCAAGTTCATTATTTCATGCCTTCTTCCTGTCTTCTTCGTCTCTTCCTTACCTTTCCTTGACCTTTCTCTCACTTTATCTTACGTCTCTTCTTGGGCAGATCTCAATGCTGCTTGCGTTTGAACTATTGGCTGATTTAAGACTTGCCTAGAGATATCCCCAATCTACCCCAAAGAGGAAACAAACTCTTTGAAGGGCAAACCCAAGGTCGACTATGAGAGGAAATTGGACGAGACAACGGCGAAAGAGACCGCACTGGTCTAGCAGCGTGAAGTAGCTGAGGGAGTGGCCCAGGAAATCAATTCCTTGAGGAAACGCAGCTGGCCCAGCTGCGGGATGCTGATGTCAAGATTGCTGGTGATCTACAGATCACGAAGGAAGCAATGGCCAAGCTTGACCAGGAGTTGGAGCACGAAACTGCTCGAGTGGTCAAGCTTGTGCAACAGAGCGACGGCCATGAAAGGGCCAGCAAGAGACTACAAGAGAAGTACGCTAAGTTACAGTGTACGGTTGAGACTGTTCCGAGGGAGAAGGCGGATCTTGAGGAGGTCGAGGGGTGGGAGCAAGCACTGCATGAGCTCGCGGGCTCAAACGAACAGTCGCAGCAAGAGGTGCGTAAGTTAGATAATCGCGTGCAAAATTAGAGGGCGATGACTGGGTTCTGCTAGACCACAATAAGGAGCTACTTTGAGTGGGCAACCTTGAGCAACAGATGAGGGCAAATATCACCAAGCGGTGCAAGGCTTTGGCTCCAGTGCTGATTAAATAGCGAATCTATCCTCATTTACTAGGTCACAATTTGTGGAATAGAAGATGCCATGTAGGTGTACTGCAATAAAAATATTATCGCTGTGCAACTATATACAATATGATGGCCATGAAGGCAAAACATAACCACGAAATGCTTAGTATGATGCAGGGGAAAAGCAGAAAACGCCAGGGTATAGATGATCAGACCATAGAACTCCGCTTTTTTTCAAGCTTGGTTGCAGCACTTTCCTCCTTGCTGCGTCGGAACCCAAAGAAACTACTCTTTTTTGGTTGGACTTGTGGCGTTGGCCTCGATGCTACTGGTAAAGCTCCACTGCCGGTTGGTTGTTGGTGGAACCCAACTGTGGACTGTGGTCGGGGTTGTGGGCGTGGTTGTTGAGGCCGCGACTGCATGAGGTGTGTGGAAGATTGGGCTCGGGGATCCATGCGACCCGGTGCATGGAGGTATGGGCCGTTGGGAACGCCGTGGGAATGTTGTTGGCGGGGAGGATGAGATGGACGGCCTTCAGGTTGGGAGGAAAGTTGGACTGAAGATTGAGAGTACTGGTGGGAGTAAGGCTGGCCGGGTCCGGTGTGTCGAGGTGGAAGGTAGGGCCTGGAAGATGGTGCTGGAGTATGTCGTTGCATTCGTGCTTGCTCTTCTTCTTTCCCATATAACTGCTGCAAGCGTTTGGTTTCTTTTTCGACTTCTGCCTCCCGCCGACGCCGTGCTTTTTGTTCTGCAGCGAGAACTTCCTGGGTTCGTCGCTCCTCTTCCTGTCTGGCGAGTTCGTCCTGTCGCCTCCTCTCTTGTGGGGCCGGGGATGAGGAGCTCGGGATGCTGAGCCGAGGCATCGATGACTTTCGACTCATTTCTGCCCCTGGTGGTCGAGCCTGTGAGTTCCTCCGATCGCGCCTGGGATCACCGGCTTGTGTAGTTGTCACCGCGGTTGCATTTGACCCTACTACTGGCTTGCGAGCTTGGCTCGGCCCCCCGGGGGTGATATGGAAAGCCTCCTTGGCAGGCCCAAAGAAAATATCTCGAATCGCAACAGCAGCCAAGAGTAGCACGACCTCCAACCCCTTGGTATCCTCCATCTCGACGCGAGAGAGGTTGGGTTCGTAGAGAGTAAGCTCCTTGAGCCCTTGAAATAGAGCGACCGTAATGTCTGGCTCACGGTTCTTTGTGCGCGTCTCGGCAATTGTTGAAGTTTTGCCGTGCAACAAACATGTCAAATCCTTTGACAGCTTCCCATCCTTGCGCCAACTAAACCTCAACTTCGGAGTAACGTCTGCAAGAGAGGGATCGATCTGAGTCTGGTCTAGCACTGAAGTGGACGGGACCCGGAATGTGTTTTGCGGCATCTCAAATTCCCACCGTGCTGGTTTGTTCCACGACTTGGTATGATATTTCACTGTGATCTCTTGGTCGGGATTGTAGAGTTGGATGGTGAACTCGGTAGGAAGGATGGGTTCTGGGGGCGGTACAACGCCGCCATTTGCTCGTATTGTGTCTGCCGACAGACTCGGTTGGGTCCAATCTGGAGCTACAGCGACCTCGCCGTAGACAACGTCAGTCACGTAAGGGTCGTACAGCGCGACCCCGTAGCGGTTTTGTGATGCTGGGGCAGTTGAGTCAAGGGCGCGCAAGGAATAAGCAGGTTCGGGGTCATTGCCATGTTGACGGTGGTATATCGTGCTGATCTGAGGTTGTTTTGAGTTGTTCTTGAGGAAGAACGCTATCCTGCGGTCAGTACGATAATCACAAAGCCGGGATGACGTAACCTCAACAAGGGCTCACGTACTGGGTAAGTTTTCATCGATCATCTTCCAAGGTTCTCATCTGAGATTTAATGTTCTCAGAGACTCTGGTTATGTGGAGGAGTTATATCGAAATGGGAGTTGAATGAAGCCTGCTAGTCTGCGCCACGGGACTTAGTGATCGGCACCTAAAAATAGACGGCCTATCCCCGCTAATTCGTATGTCTTGAGGCATCAGCATTTAGTTAAAGCCCAGAAATGTAGGCGGCATTCTATGCATGACATTCAAGCCTACCAATTATTGCATCTATTGGTTGGTCATCTACATGCTGTCATCATAGTAAGCATTGTATATTTGTAATATTTCTACTATTGAGTGCTAGTGATATTGTTCCCAGGCACTGCATTTCAAGACCATATCGGTAGCTTTGCTTTTTGGAGCTAGGCCACCCATATATATTGCCCGAACAGCGCCTCCAAGCGGATCACGACGATGACCCAAGATAGGTCGAACAGTCGGGCAATAATCAACCTATATAGAATTGTGTTCAGACATAGACGACGCTGGTAGATAGGTCTCAAAGCTGGTTTTGTATTCACCGTATATTTCGTTGAATATAGCAAGCCCTAGTTTGACCCTATATTAAATCAGCCACCACAAATTTGGGAAAGGAATTTGGCATAATACATATGGCTTGAAGATACACAGTGTACGTATTTGGGTTATACATTCAGCCACACTTGTTGTTTAACTCCTATAATCCATGTTAATTGCAATAGGAAAGGATTGACTTAGCTGCTAGGGTGACTTGTGGAGAGAAGAAGGGAGAATCTCTATATTGCAGCTTCAATTAGTACTGATTCTGTATTCTGAGGAAGAACTTTTATGTATACTTATCCATATACTCATCAAACGGGGTCCATCTTAACCCATCAAGGGATGGCTTCTAAAATCGATATCAGTACAAAAGGTCGAGGGAATGACTTAGGTATGCTTTCAACCCCTATCCAAGGTTGAAATGAAATGTAGCTGATTAGCCAAGAAGCAATCACAGTTTGCTAGGTTGCGTTGGTATAAATAAAGGAAGTGTTATAACCAGTGTTATAACCAGTTGAGCTGGACACAACGAACCTGCACATTGGAATCTCAGAAACTATTCATAAATGTCTGTAATAAGTTAGTGACAATGGGGTGAAAGAAATCATTTAACTGCTTGGAAAGCATATAATTGGTAGTTTTCTAGATAAGGATGAAGTCAGAGCTTCACTCAGCCGTTAGATCCAATGGTCTAGTGACATACGGCTGCCTGTAAAATCCAAATTAGTCAGACTGCGGCTGAAGGGAATGATCTAGCTGCTTGGAAAGAAAATAGTATGTGCAAGCTTTTGGACAAAGAAACAATTCCGGTCTATATTCGTTAGCATGGAATCCAAGTCACATAGGAGAGTAGTAAATCTAATTCACTGGCTAGTAGCTAGCCGGGGTGTATTGTGGATATATCGTCGGGGCGTATCTATAAAATTATGATTAGTGACACGAAGGCAGAGAATTACTCACCTGGTAGGGGAACCATGTGATGATTTCTGGACAAATAATCTCGACGGGCCTATACTTCGTTAGCACTTATTCACGTTGCCAGGAAGGGTAATAAAGAACTTAGCCATTCAAGTGGTCGCTGTTTGAATCCCGGTTGATGGAATATCCTCATTTAGAACCTAATTCAGTTTGTTAGTATATCTCAGTGCATCTGGTATGACCCACCGGGTGTTGTATGATATTTAAGACGTTATACTCGAAGGTCTTGGGACGGTAAATGGTGTGGCAATCTCTGTATCTTGTTAGTAAGGGAGGTAAAGGGCGGGGATGGGGTTTATTAAAGGACTTAGCCGCAGACAGGTAATAAAGGATGTTCGGATCGGTACTCGTCGAATGCAAGGTTGGCCTGGTTTGTTGTATGTTAGCAATGATCATCTTGTGGGAGAACGCCCACCTGTGGCATATATATAGCGTGATACTCTGTGTAAATGGTCCTAGATGAAAGTGTCAGTGTCAATCTTGCAAGGAATAAGAAAGATACTCAGTGGATGATTCGCAGTCCACATATATTATATATATATATAGTAGTAGAAGACAAGCGTTAAGCTCTGCTTTGAACTGGAATGCTCCTGATGATGGGATCAAAAGCGACGGGCCCGACTACCATTATATAGACAATTATGTCCAACACAAAGGGTAACCTAGCCTATAGTGGCTGTACAAGCTCTTTGTCGAGATGGCTATGGCAGACTGGTTCATTGTGTTACCGACACCGAAGGTCGTTGTTCACAGCCAAAGATGAAGAAGATTTAGAGCGGGTAAAGGACTCGACAATGAAGACCTTACAATGCATGCTTGTCGGCTTTGTTCTATTCTTTGCTGAAACACATACACAGGCTAAATAGTCCAAGGGGCTTAAGAACTAGGGGAATTGAAGTAAAGAAATAAACAATGGAATAAAAAGCCTAATTCAAGGTATTATTTTTGTCTATGTCAGATCTATGTATATATTGGCTTTATCCTTGTAACCTGCGGCGATAGTCGAAAAGTACAATAGCAATGTCCATCAAATCACACTTTTGTTCACTGCCCATTTCATACCCGGACGCCATTGACTTCCTCACCTCCAGTGGCCTTAGCCGCCTCCCGCTCAGCAATGCTCATCTGCAATCCCTGGTCACCCCAGCCTTGGATACCCTTCTTATACAGCGTCTCCTGTTCCTCCCGGCTAGGCATAGGTCCAGTCTTACCCCGGCGCTGCCGTGAGTCGCTTGTCTCCTCAAGTGAGGCATTATCACCATCCAGCGGGTATCCCTCCAGATCGTGTGTGTGCTTTCCCTCGGTGAAAGCGAAAGTGCGGTACTCGGTGTTGGACCACCCGGTGCCTGCGAGAATGAAAAACGTTAGTAATTCCCCGCAATAGCGTGTTACGTCACATACCTTGGAACAGGCTGTTGTCTTCCCAATCTTCAGTGAAATAGTGTAAGAACCCGCCGTGCGTGACCATGACAATTTCCTTCTCCGGGCGGGCTTTCAGCCAGCGACGGGCTGCACGAGCGCGTTGCTTGAGGGCTTGGTTGGCCGGGGCGTAGCGACCGGATTCCTTTTTGATGGACAGATGTAAGTATACCACATGCTGGATAATGTCGGGGCTACCCCCGAGTTTTAGGCAAGTAAGAAGCATACCTTGTTATTCCACCCATCATGTACGAGATCCAGATCAACTCCTGTTTGGAATTCCTCCTTCAGAACAGAAGGCTCGCTACCGGTATCACATGCAACGTCTGAGATCTCCTGAATATCAGGCAGGGCAATAATCTTCAAGTCCGGCTTTGACTCGAAGACGGGCGCAAAGCTCTCAAGCGCGGTATAGAGAGTGCGACGGAGGGGCGAGGCGGTCACCAGATCGATATTGGCATGGCGGGGGAAGGTCTCGCGGAGCTTTCGGCATTGCTCGTGTCCAAGGTCAGTGAGGAGGGGGTCTTGGATGACGTGGTTGGCGGTGCAAAGATTGTGCAGGCCCTGTGGTGTTCCATTAGGTCGACTGAGCAGTGAAGAGAAGAGCCATGATGCAAGGTTGCGAATCAATTGTTAAGAGGGGGTTTCCTGCGATCATTGTCGCGATATGGACGTACTTGGGCATGGCGCACGCAGTGGATAATTGGGGCCATTTTCAATGTTGAGAATATCTGGGGTAAGCTGGTAAATTTATGTTAGAAGCTTGGAGATATTGAAGACCCTGACCGCGGGGAGTTCTTATCGCGGCGGGGGGCCTGGGCAAGGGATGCGAATCGGAGTGCCTACAGAGTATTGGGCTCAAAAAATATTCCCAATGCAATTGAGAGATATATGCTGGAAACAAAGATATACAAAGGGAAATGAACGTTAAGAGTCATAAAATCCTCCCGGACCTCAGAAGTCCGATTTGGTCATATAATTTTGCGTAGCGCCACATCGTCAGGCGAACCACAGCTCTGCACTGGAGTCCGATGGAGATCTATAACCTGTGATTTGTCTATCTTAATGAGGGATCCTCTTTATATGTCTAGTAGGAGCTCAAGTACTATATGAAAATATGCTATTTGCACTGAGATAGAATGCCAACACATCAATTATAGAACAAGTGGGTATGTATGGGTAAAACAATGAAATCTGACAACCTTTTATGCAACGCCAAATCCTTGGGCATTTTCGAGAGCCTTGTCCAGCTTCTTCGCTAAGGCCTCCCTTGACGAATACTCTGGCAAAAGCAAACGTCCGAAGCACGTCAAGCTGGTAGGAAGACGCTATAGGAACAATCAGCATGAGACTTCATATACTGTTGGAGAAAGTGGAACTTACTAAATCTCCAACGCCATTTTTCTGAATCACAAACATAATACTTGAGATTCCGTTGACGGGGACTCGGTCACTAGCAGTGACGAATTCGAGTAACTGGGCCCTCTTTTCATTGGGGTATTCTTGGATAATATCCCAGAAGTCACGAATGACACGATGATCAGGCCCAAATCCACCCTCGTACCGGGTGTGCTTCTCGAGCTCTTCTACGTCAATAGATTGGATACCTTCTACCACGGTTTTGAGGGCTTCTGGGGAGAAGATGGACAGAGCCGATCGATCCAGGCACGTGTTGAAACCCCTCTGGAAGGCTTCAAACTGTGGTCGAATGGATTTGCCTGTGAGCCAGAAGATGTAATCTTTAACAAACTGGTGTCGATTTTTATTGGTCACAAGCGCGGCCTCTTCAGCTGGGAGTAGAGGGGGCTGAAGTGATACAGACTCAGGCCCCGACTTGGGGGTCATGCCTGAGGCAGGCTCACGGGATGTGACACCGGTAGCCTCCTCAACTGCCATGGAGGTTGTTGAGCTCAATATTGGAGGGTCGTAGTAAGCTGGCGCATCTATCCAAGCGCTAGAGCCTGCGATAGGAGCCGGAGCCGGAGCCGGAGCCGGGGTGGTGATTTTGCTAGCAAGAGGCCACGGCGCATCCCGATTAACCTTCAGCATATCGATTGTCTCTATACTTCCAAAGGCTTCGAAGCTGAACTCGTAAGTTCGCGTGAAAATATCGCCGACATCGCCATCTTTCCATGCCAATAATGTATCCAGCCCTTGGCTAAGCTCCGGCCATCCATCTCGAATGTGGTCCAGATGCTTCACCTTCAGGCCCAGCACTTTGCGGTAGAAGGCGGTGGGCAGGTTCACAGGGAGGGTCAGGCCGTTGTAAATGGCAATAGACATCAACAGACCAACAAGTTCGAACTTGTAGAGAGGTTCCAATGAGCACGGTTGGAACCAAGACATGCGGTGTCGAGTGTCAAATGTGAACATGCCATAAGATGGGTCAAAGGCTTGACCCATGAGCAAACGGAAGAACTCTTGTTGAACACCACCATGGTCAAGCCCTTCTTCTCCTTCATCCATGCCCATTTGTACCTTCAGGGGTCGCATCAGTTCGCGCTTTTCACGCCGCCATAATTGGCTCAAGGCATCGGAGAGAATATTATCTCGGCGGACAACGAGAACAAGGTAAGTCGACATGGATGTTCTCATGCCGGCGGGGAGTCGAGGATCATCGGAAATTTGAATAGCGCCGAAGGCAGTCTGATTGACATGCCTCGTGGTGGTCATAGCAGCCTCATAGGATTTGGTCATGGCGGAATAGTTCAAAGCACGGAAGTAGATCACGAGAGAGGATGGAGGGAAAAGGAAGGAGTATGATAGCAGATGCATCGTTCGGTTGTTGGGGACGCCCCCAGCCCATGCCACGGGCATATCCAAAGGGTCCAGCCGCTCTGTGAGAAGAGGTGTATGGAAGTCTTCGGGTAACAGACCTAACCGGTTTCGTTCCTTGTACATTGAGGCTAGAATATGAACCGCACCACCGGCTGGGCTGCTACGAGCCATTTCAGGGTTGCCGTCCCATTCACGCAGGAAAAGAGTCCGAAGCCACTCAACAATAAGAGAGGCTGGGCTAATGGACTCACCTGGCTCATCGCTGCCAGCAGTATGAGAGATGTGGTGCTCACTAAGATAGTCAATCACGCGGTCTAAGACGCTGAGTCTTCCCTGTTTTGGTAGGTCCAGGCTGTATGCTTGGCGAGCCTTGGATATTTCATGGTATGCCAGTCGTGCAGTGAGGGCCCGCACGAGGCGATTAATGAGGCGGAGGCCTAACTCGTGCTCCAATCTGTCCGTCACCTCGATGGCTTGCTGAGCATTCTTCGGAGGCAGCTTGCGCATGTCTGATAGTGAAGCAACAGACCCAGCGGCACGCATCCGAACCACCGCTTTCCAAGTTCCCAAGTCAATATTAGGCACAAAGCTGACCAAAGCGAACAAGACAACCGTGGCAATATAGGCAGCATCCGAATCCGACAGATGATCTTCATTGGCAGTCTCAGACATTCGTCGGGGAACGACTGGAGGGGGCACAGCTCCTGTCATGGTCGAACTACGAGAAGATCGGCGGGATGGCCGTCCAGAAGAGGTAAATTCCCGCGGGGGAACAAAGAGCTTGTCCAGGGAGCTCCATAGGCTGTGTAGTGTAATATCCCATGGGCAAATTGTAAATAAGCGCTGCAGTGATAACCGCAAATTGGAAATATCAAGACGACTGGAAGTAGCCCCGATCATATCCGTTGATTCGCTACCAAAGGAGCGCAAGATCTGACTGGGGCTGCTGAACACGAAAAATGCACTTTGAGCAACGAACGGAAATACCTCACGCTGACGTAGAGTAGCGAAACGCCAGTCCGGCTGCTCAAAACTGCCAGCGCACTGGATACGATCAAGCTCTTCCTCCCAGCAACCGGCGTCTTCCGCAGACTCAATCATGACTTGTGACAGACCATTGATGATTTCGGGTGTAAGATGAGTGACCGTCTGAGCCAGCGGGACTGTGTCTAGCGAGTTTTTGGCAGGAGCTTGCGTTATCTTGTACTCGCTGGAAGATTGGGCAACGGAAGGAAGAGGAGGTATGAGCTCCGTGCTTGCCGTACTATTGATAGGAGATACCTCACCCAGCAGCTTCTGGCTGTCCCAGGAGACACGCCGTTGACTTTTTCGCTGTTCCTTGAGAGGAACTGGATCGACGTCCCCAATTCTTCCGCGGTGCTTTTGCGGACGGTGCTTTAACGCTGGTGGTGAGGGTAAGCTGATGAACTCATCAGAAGAAGTCATTGGGAGCTTCTTGTTGAATTCTGGCTTCCTTTTATCGTCAAGGCTGGAACGTGGACTCTGGCGCCAATGGTCAATCTCGGAGACTGAGAGTCGCTTGACATGCTGGTTCTGAAACTTGAGCTCGACCGCGGAGGGCTGAGATCCCGATGATCGTGACGAAGGAGTACGTGGCTGAGAGCCTGGTTGGTGTGCAAGTGTGGAACTGCCTGGGGTTTTGAGATCTCTGCCTGGAACTTTGTCGGCATCGCAATCGGGTTTCGCCGGTCCCGGTGCGGGTGATTTGGATGCTGGCTCCAATGTATCTGGGGCACGGCGAAGAGGAAGCCATTCAACCATACGGAGCGAAATTGTATCAAAGAGGTTCTGTGTAAAAGACTTGGGGTCTTTTAGTTGTTGCTCGGCGGTATGGTCGAGGTCTTGAATATAGCTGCCACCGGCACGAATTTGAGGCGAGAAAGCCTCTTCTTTCACTTTCGAGGCGACTGATCTGTTTTGCCCAGGTCTGGACGCGTTGTGAGCGGAGTGGCCTTCATCGTCCTGATCGGGATTTGGTGATCTGTTAGCCGCTGCCGTCTGTGCTTCAAGTGTACGTGTTCGCCGCAGGGAAATCCGATGATAATCTTCCGCTGTCAATTGTGGTGGAGGTTTAGGCACGTTCAGACATAAACCGGTCTCCGCGTCATCCAAGCTGGCGAGGTAGCATGCCAAGGTCCTCGCACTCAGTTCCGTGTATCGACGATATGGAGCTTCACTGAGTCTTCTGCGATGACTGGCACATGTGGCGGTTCGACATCCGGGATCATCGCAGCCGTGAAGCAGTTGAGCTTTGTACCTTTTCCACCAAACCAATTAGTCTCATGCGGAGTTAGGAAGTCGAGGCCTAACGGTTGGAGTTCCACTCACCTGCGCACCAAGCCGTTGAATTTTCGCCTTCGATCATCACGATATCGTGGAAGGACCCTTGAGGGGTCGGATACCTCGATAGTGTTGTGTATGAGCGCATCCGGTGCGTTTGGTGGGAGTTTTGACCGATAACTGTGAGTTTGCCCGGGGGAACGCGCGATGCCTGGGTCATCGATAGAACCTCCGCGGAGCCTTGTCATTTTCAACAGAGTGGCATATCTGAGGGAGTGAAGATAGCTGTATGGTATTGAGGGCACTAGTAAATTGTTCGTCTCCACACGTTGAATCAAGACCAAGATGCTCCAGCTTACCTATGTAAGACTGTGATGCCTCAGGCATGGAATATTCACTGGTGGCATCGGAGCTATCGGAAGTCAAATAGTCCGGCTGGACCTTGGTTACTCAGCCCGCCAGCCTTTTTGGAAAGTACTAAGCCATTTACAGTTAGTGCGATTACCTAAATAGTACTAGTAGCATTGTAGAGGGGTTTAGTCGCTCGATAAGAAAAGTAAATTCAGAAGATCAACCCTGAACGACAGTCTAAGTGCATAAAGGCTGACTCGCAAGAGTATTTCCTTTCAAAAATTCTTCTCTCTTACATCTATCTGAGTATCACTGTCATCTACTTTGATCAATATATACTCAGATCATCAAAAAATCATTGAAATCGGGCCAAGGCAGAGCCTTCATATGTACCCCGCCTACAACAAATATTCATCCCACAATCCACAGGGAAAACCCGCCCTTTCAACTACCCACGACTCTGAAAAAATCACCGATATGTCGTCGACCAACCAAGATGCAGCCTCGCTGCAATACACTTGCAACACCTGTCTTGTTGCCTTCCAACGCAGCGAGGCGCAGAGAGATCACATGCGCAAAGACTGGCAGTAAGTCTTAAATTTTTTTTTTTTGGTCAATTCAGTAGCTCATTTGCCCTAGTCTATACAACATGAAGCGTCGCATCGCTTCTCTGCCACCCGTCACTCTCGAAACTTTCAACGAAAAAGTACTCGCCGCCAAAGCTACATCCAACGAGGCTGCCGCTAAGGCTTCTTACGAAAAGACCTGTCATACCTGCAACAAGGCATTCTACAGCGAAAACTCGTACCAAAATCACATCAAAAGCTCAAAGCATAAGCAACGTGCGGCTATCCTACGTAAGGATGGCGATGCTGCCTCCGTTCAGAGTTCCGCTTTCTCTCTCGGCGAACCCGTGACCAAATCCGACAATGACGTCAGCAAGGTCACCGAGGGCCTCAAGACTACGACCATTGATGAAGAAGAAGAAGACGAGGATATGGAAACAGATATCCAGAAAGATGACTTCTTGCCATCTCGCTGCCTCTTCTGCAAAACCGAATCAACCGATATTCACACCAACGTGGACCACATGCGCAAAGATCACGGCATGTTCATCCCCGAACAAAAATATTTGGCGGACCTCGATGGCCTCGTGAACTATCTCTACCGAAAAATCACCGAAAACTTCGAATGTCTTTACTGCCATGCCATCAAGAACGACGCACAGGCCATCCAAACCCACATGCGCGACAAGAGCCACTGCATGATTGCCTTCGAATCCGAAGAAGAACAAGTTGAAATTGGCCAATACTACGATTTCCGGAGCACCTACTCCGACGATGAGGATGAATCCACTGCTGAGAGCGGCGGCGTCAAAGTGAACCCCGATGGAGAGGACCAAGGTTGGGAAACCGACAGTTCCGCATCCTCCGACGATGAGGACGATCTTGACTCATACCGAAACGCATCTGGTGCCTACGAGGCAGATTACGAGCTCCACCTTCCATCTGGAAAGAGTGTTGGCCATCGTTCGCTTGCCAAATACTACAGGCAAAACTTACACAAATACCCCTCGGCCGCCGAACGAGCTGCCCGCCAGCTTGCCATCGCGAATGGAGAAGTTGAGGAGGAGCCACCTCGTGTCCGCAACAACCATCACCGCGCTCTTGTCACTCGTGCCAACGGTGGCATGGGCATGATTGGAGTCACCGAAGAGCAAAAGGAAGCTGCTCTCATTGCCGACCGCCGCGAGAGAACTCGTGCCCTTCGCCAAGAGAATCGCTATGTTGCCCGTGTCCAGCGTGCCAACAATCACCAGAAGCACTTCCGCGTATGTTCAATCTGTGCCGTTCTTTCATTTTGCAAAACTAACTTTCTCACTAGGATCCCCTTCTGCAATGATCGCTTCATCACATCACCAACAAGAAATCACATCAATTGATCGGTTTTCATTTACGACATCGTCTTTTGGACATCACCAAAGAAACATTCGCCAATACTCGCAATACATCGACAACCATTGCACCTCTTCAACTTGCACGCCCGTTACTCCCGTGCGCGAAGACTGCTCGACTTTTGGCAACCTGTGGGTTTCTACGAGCGTTTCGAGTCATCGAAATAACCACGTGAGGTACTCTTTCCGAGTCGGGCCATTTTCTCGAATGAGTTTTTCAACCCGGGCGGTTTTAACGAGGCCTCGCCGAACATTGAACAACTTTATGATGGATGTATGGATAGCGATCACATGTTGCATATACCTTTTGTTGCCAGCGGGCCGTCATATCCTGTTATTTGGGGGGGTTCTTTTAGAAAGGACATTCATGTATCTAGTCTGAGAAAATCAAAGCAAATCTGCATAGTGTCCGTGTCTCGAGGTTATATTAGGTGTAACAGCATACCTATCCTATATCTCCAATATTGACATGAATCATTTCCAAGTTAGGCTACGAGGTCTGTGACTGAAATCTATCCTCTACGGTATATCAAACGCTTCTGGGAATTCAAAGGATTCAGGCTTTTCATTTGCCATATACTCTTGCAAAGAAAAGCGAATACGGAAAATTACGGTAGTGGGAAATAAGTTTGGCTAGTTTCTTTCAACTATGTAACGTCTCATTGGAGTAACAATGATTGAAATGACTGCTTATTAGAGTAACGGCTGGTCCTCTGAGGGACCGCCATGAGATTTTGAAGCTTTGCCGTGCTTCTTTCGGCGGCGCTTTTTTTTGGATTTTGCGTGGGCAATGTCGGGATTTTCTGATTTTGCGTCATCGGTGTCAACGACTGCACCCTCGGCATGGCGGTGGTGACGATGGCCTGATGAATGAGATTCACCTTCTGAAGAGCCCGAGCAATTTGCATGAAGGACAACTTTGCGAATACCATTGACATCCACAATCTGTTCTGTGATGCTTCCACTGCGCGCCGGTCCTCTGTGGTGGTAAATTAAGCCTGGTGTACCAGACGATTCAATACTGCCTTCGTCACTACTAGCCTTCCGCGTCGACCCAGAACGCGGTTGGTCTTCATGCTCCTCACGGACAGCCTCGGGAATGGAGACATGGGGAAGGTCTTTGTATTGCTGAGCACCGGTGCCTTTGCTCACATTGTCATTCGAAGCTATGGTGCCGTAGCCAAGTTTGAGAGTATGCGCACCATCTTTGGCGTCTGATCCCGCGGAGTTGAGCAAGCCCGCGCCTATGCCACCTTGGTATCCAGTAGAAGAAGTAATAAGCTTTTGTGAGTCGGAAGTGCTTTGTCCGGACTCAAACTCGGTTTGTGCGGAACGGGACGGAGAAGCGCTATTGCGCTTGATTTTGACAGCATGGTAACGGGTTTGGCGTGGCTTACTGGCCAGGTTGGAGGGACCAAGATGCTTTAGGTGCTCTCGAATCTCATCTGTGGTGCCGACTTGTGTGACCCATTCATTTGCCGAGTCGGGGTTGATGTCGGCATTAGTTTTGCGAAGTTGAAAGCGGGGAAGAGGTGCTTCCGCGGAACTGCGGCGTCGAATTAAGTCGGAAGGCTTGGGGAGAGATGAGGGTTGTGTGGAATCCACATCGATCAAGTCGCCATCGGTGACAACAGAGGCGTTCAAAGGAGGTTCCTCGACAATCTTGCCTTTGGCGACACGAGACTTGGGTGCAGGTGTCATTCGTCGGATGGCTTTGTGGACATCAATAAAGACATCAGATTCGTCAATAATTTCTTCTCCGATCAATTCTTCGATAACATCTTCCAGAGTGACGACTCCAAGAGCGCCACGATCCTCACTAGGATATTCAGAGACAAGAACCATATGGGACTTGCCCTCTTGGAAGAAATTCACAATATCCAGACAGCTGGTTTCAGGGCGTGTTTCAGGAAGTGTAGCCAAAGCAAAATCGCGAACATGTCTGCAATCTTCCGGGTCGTATGTAATGAGCATCTTGACAAGGAGCATACCAACAAAATTCATCGGATTGTCGGGTGCATGGATGGGAATACGGGAATATCCTTGGGAAAGAATGTGGTCCATCGTGCGTTCGTCCAGGACAGTGTCGGCAGACATAGTGAAGACATCGTCCATTGGTGTCATGATGCTGCCTACTGACTTCTCTTTGAGGTCAAGGACTGCACTAATAATGGTCACTTCATCGGAGTTAAGTTGCTCTCCGGCTTCGCCCAAGGTTTTGTGGAGGGTGACGAGTGTTTTCAATCCAGCCTTTTTGTATATGGTACCATGATCCTCCCCAAGGAGCTTATCTAGCAACTTTGCGATAGGCCATGCGACTGGAGACATGATGTACATCAAGACCAAAACACAAGGTGCCATCCAGGCACCGATGGGAAGACCATAACGAACGCAGATGGACTGCGGAACAATCTCACCGAAGATGACGATCAAAGCAGTACTTCCTAGCACCGCCGGCCAACCGCCGCCAAGTGTTCGGTCAAGGACGATGGGTAGAGTTTCATTTGTGATCACATTGCTGAGGAGGAGGGTGACAAGAACCCAATGTTTCCCGTGGTTCAAGAGTTTGAGAACGCTAGTAGCATTTTTCCTTTCATGCCCTTCGCCGGACGTCTTGATGACTTGGAGATAAACTTCATCCTGTATGCAAACAGGATGTTAGTGTGGTTCATCAGGGAATTTTTAGCCGCGTTGGAAAGAGCTGACCTGTCCCATCAAGGCAATCGTAAGACCAGCAAATGCGCCACCGCTCAGCACAAGAGCAGCTGAAAATCCCAAGTAAAGCCATAAACTCGGATCGCTCGGTTCCTTTGGTGGTTCTGTGTCGCGGGATGACAGAAAGAGAGGTGAGAAGGTAGGCGCAGCAGTGGCGAATGGAATTTGTGAGACGGCGACGAGAAAAAGCTTGGCCAGACTCAGCAGCAATGGCCGAGCGGCAAACGAACGGTAAGGTGAAGAATTCATAAGAGGAGCGTGAGCGATCAACGGGACATGCTGTGATGTAATGGACAATGACTGTCGGTCGCGGCGGGAAGGGGAGAGGGAGAGGGGAGATGCGACAGATGGGGATGGGGCAGATGAACGGAAGTGAGGGAATTAACAAAGCCAACAGGAAGAAAGGAGCGAGAGGGGGTGGGGACCTTGATTTGGGGATAGAGTAGATAAGGAAGCACTGAAGGACAGAGTGAGCAACCAAGCAGCAGGATGGCGGAGGTCGGGGGGTCGGGAGGCCGGGGCGGGTGCTTAATCAGCACTTAAACCAAATTCTTGCACCGCCGACGTGATGTCTGCCGCCTCCGCGGTTTGGTAATTCGCCACCTGTTGCTCGAGGCTGCCCACTCTGTCCCGGGTCTGCTGGTGCTCCATATCTGATGCCACAGACTGACACAGGAGCTCCGCATTGTGCTCCAACAGAACCCGGTTATCGCCCTCCATTTTTTGCACGTTTTGCTGGGACTCTTCGTTTGAGTCCGCAAGCTCGTGCAGTGCTTGCTCTTTCCACTCGACCTCCTCCTCAAGGTCCGCCTTCTCCCTCACAAGAGTCTCAACCGTACACTGTGATTTAGCGTACTTCTCTTGCAGTCTCTTGCCGGCCCTTTCATGGCCGTCGCTCTGTTGCACAAGCTTGACCACTCGAGCAGTTTCTTGCTCTAACTCCTGGTCAAGCTTGGCCATTGCCTCCTTAGTGATCTGTAGATCACCGGCAATCTTGGCATTCGCATCCCGCAGCTGGCCCAGCTGCGTTTCCTTGGCAACGAGTTGAGCCCTCAAGGAATTGCTTTCCTGGGCCACTCCCTCAGCTACCTCATGCTGCTGGGCCAGCGCGGTCTCCTTTGCCTTAATTGCCGCTGTTGCCTCGTCCAATTTCCTCTCGTAGTCGACGTTGGCTGCCATCAGCTCCTTAAGGTGAGTCTGCTTCAGCGAGTTGACACGCTTCTCATGCTCCTGGTTGGCAAACACCATTGTGCGTTGCACCGCATCCTCCAGTCGCTGCTGGGCCAGCTCGTGGGAGATGTCGGGCTTTGCCTGGATCTGCTGCTTGAGGTGTGCGTTCTCCTCGTTGAGTGCGGTGGCGGCGGCGTGAAGAGACCCAATCTGGTTAGTTGTCCGGGCCACATAGTCTCTGGCATCGGTCTCGAAGCTTGCCAGCTTGGACTCACAACTGACCATCTTGGACTCCCATGCCGCATTGACGATCGCCACCTGTGCAATGACAGTCAACTTTGTTGCCGGTCGACCACGTTCCCGCTTCGTAATTCCGTATTTTTTGGCCGGGGCCCAACGAGCACGTCCCTGAATCCCGCGAATAGGGTTTTTCTCGGCCTGCCGCTCTAGCTGTTCCAGGTCCTCAAACTTGCCCCGCCAATGGCGACACTCGCCGAGGGCGTGATCCTTCGCGCGCAGGGATTCCTTGACGCCTCGGGAGACGGTCGCCAGTTGAGAATCCAGGTATCGGATCTCCTTGGCGTGGCGTTTCTTGTCGGTCTCTCGGGCTATCTCGGAAACACGTGCTCGTGCCTCTGTACCACGGAGCTGCTGCTCCAAAACCACCATCTGGGCTTTCAGCCCCGCATTTTCCTTGGCCTCGGCCTCGTTGGCCTCGGCGTAGACAATCTCAATTTTTGGCTCTACGACCAACTTTGCTACATTTTGTAGCAAACACCAGAACCTGGCACGGGAACTACTCGATGTTAGTCTCAATGGGGTATTTGGATGGGACTTGGGATGGGACTCGGGATGGGACTTGGCACGGCATCCTTGACAACTCCTTTGGTGCCATGAAACATGGCCCACAGGTTGGCCATGGAGAGGGGACATATGAGGCATGAAATATTCAAACTTACCTGCTCAGACAGCAAGCCCCCGCGACAAACACAGTAGAAACCACTACAACACTTCCAACAAGTTCAAAGAGATCATGACGCCAGTATGCCGCCATAGCGGCAAGCAACACAAGGAACACAAACGATGAAGTGCTAAACATTGTGATTTGCAGGTCAAACAGTAAAAGATGAGAAGAGAGAAAAAAGAAGAAAGAAGAAAAAGAAAACGGAAAAGGATTCGAGGTTTTAAAGAGCAGTTCTACGTGTTCCTTCCTCAAATGAGTGTTCATACGCATTCCTTCCTAAACGGAGTGACGGATTCAAACGGACCCCTATCCAATTTCACCTCCAGGCATCTCTTCAGCAAAGAATTAGAATAATACCATCAATGCCCTTGTAAATAGGAAACATTATACATTTTATACTATTGTGGAGTAGATCAATAGGTTAAGCTTTGCGGCCCGTGTGGGGTACATGAACCTAACCATCGGCCTGACGTCACAAGATTTTCAAGATAACGGAACATGGTACTCCCTCTCTACCGGCCTTCCAAGTCTACCATTGAGATCTTTATTGATTGGGGATCAATTTCTTCATTTATATAGTTGCCAGTCAACTCAAGATTTGCTCATCAACAGTTGTTCCCAACCGCCCGTTTCGGGTACATGTAGATATCCGCCCGAACCATCAAGTCTTTGCACAAGTAGCTCGTTCCGAACGCTATAAGCATCGCGGAAACCTGGATCATTGAATCCTCGCGATTGGGCTTTTGAAACTTGGGCCGCCAATGGCGGTAATCGACAGTGTCCCGATCCTTCGCACGGAGGGATTCCCCGATATCCAGGGAGATAGTCGCTAGTCGAGAATCTAGGTGTCGGATCTCCTTCTCATGGCGTTTCATTTGATACGATTCTCCCAGCCGTCCAACATCAGGATTTTCATCCACCGGTCAACTGGAACATCGACGACCTCTGGGTTTGACCAGACGTTGTATTGTAGGAGCACGTCGGCCAGCTGGTCTGTCGTAGCTTTGTCCCCGTATATGGTAGGTCATTGGTCAGAGTAATCTCCGTGGGGCTTGTCGATCTCAGTGTGGAGGTGTTTGTTCGCGGGCTTCGAGTAGTTGCCAGGGCGGCTGCGTTTGGGTGCACCAGGTACGCGGTTGTGTACTCAGTCTCGGTCACGGTGCCGACGCGAGCACGCCGTGGGATGATCTGAGTCACTGATTTCTAGTTGGAAACGGGGATGAAGGCCAAGTTGGAGTCGACTACGTGTGTGTACATGCTCCCATGGTCTCCGTCCGGGTGGAAGATAAAGTCACGGCCTTCAAACTCCCGGGCTATCTCGGGATCACGAGCTTGTGCCTCTTCTAGGCCCAAGGGTAGCAACATGGTATACCACGTCCTCCATGGTATACGGCAATATGAAGGATCCGAATTGAGGCAGTAATCCCCCCACAGAGGATGATACTTGGCGAGAGGATTTTGATATCTCTTCTAGTTATTCTATCCTTCCACTGTGCGTGAGATCTCTGAAGTCGATGCCACCTTCGCTACGCTAGCTCCTGCGCTGAGCGTTTGCTTTTGTTCTCGGCGACAACGATTACGTGTTAGCCAATCCCATGGTTTATCGCCCAGAGTTGTTGTGTACCTCACTCGAGCGAGCCATGGACCTTGGTCATAAAACCGTCAAATCAAGGAATGGAGGTGCTTCTGGTATCGCTGCCGACGCTAATTGCCACAGCGAATATGAGGAAAATTGTTTTACGCAATCAAACCAAAATGAGATGTCCATACAGAATCATGTACTCGTGCCTCCATACCACGGAGCTGCTGCTCCAAAACCACCACCTGAGCTCGCAGCCTCGCGTTTTCCTCGGCCTCGGCGTTGACGTTCTGGGTTTTTGGCTCTGGTATCTGGGAGTGAGTGACACTGCTAAGCAGCTTGCAGATTGGTTGACTTTTGGCCTGCCCACGAAAATCCCCAAAATTTAATGTCAATTGCGCTTATTGCGCCGGTGGATGTTTGAAAGGTGGAAACAGAGATTGTCGGCTTGGTCAGCGGAATCCTTGTCCAAAGGGCTGTAATATCTAGAACTAGCTCTGGCCACAATTGAAAAATGCTAGAACATGAGCAACAAAGGTTTCGCCCTCCTATATCCTGTGCTTGGAAATTTCATACAACGCAGTAGTTATCCCAGCGTTTTGTATGGAATGGCTAGCATTTGACGAGATGAAAGATATAGCGAAACATGCGGCTTATATGAATGTCTAAGATGGTTGGTGTACCGATAAACCACAAGAAATCCAGTTTGAGGTATTGGTTGACCAGCTCTATTGCATTCTATTCTACAATAACTGCATCGTCTTGGAGTGTGAAAACCGAATCCATCCAGATAGATCATCAACCACAGCATGTCTAGGTGAGAAGAGCCTTACTCTATCGTTACTCAAAGTTAGGAGCAGTGATTTTATAACCTTTGAGGGCAACCCGCGGTACATACCACGTATAAGTCCGGCCACAAGATTTGGAAACCATGACCGACAGGAACTTATATGCATTGCTTCTTCAAATGGTCTGACAACAGTTGATTCCCAATAGTCAATAAATCGCCGAATGAAGAATTACATGTGTTCTATATGCTCCTATATCCATTTTGTCACATATGTTTCGTGTTGTACAACGCCAATCCAAAGTTCTGCATATGTCACGAACTTGTTTCGCCACCATTGGCATTTTTCCAAGAGCCAGCATAATGGTGTTCAACAAGATAAGGCCCTCGGTCCTCTGGGAAGCCACCCTGAGCAGAGGCAAAGGCCGCATCAGGCAGCACGAGCACGTCTTGAAATAGGGTGGGTTCTTTCATATCGGTTATATTGGCTCGGCCGAAAGGAACACCCATTTCCTCCTGCAGATTCTGCAATAGGGCAACAGTCATCGCCTGTGGACCCGTAACATCCACCACATTGCCGATAATCGTCATATTAAGTTCGGCAGTGGTCACATTGTGCTGTGCAGCAGATGTCTTCAGTCCATCGATGATATATTTGATGGCCGCCACGATATGGCTTGTCTTGGGTTTTGCCATGAACGTCCAACTCGTGAACTGGACCCCATCAAATTCCAAACCGACAACAACATTTGTCATATTCTGGTATTGTGCCGGGATCCAAGTATTAATTGGCTGATGGCATGTCACGTCAAGATCACTCCAAATTCCTCCGTCGGTGTACAAGATCAACAGACGAAGGAGATCGGCTTTTAGGATCGGAAGTGACAGCGAGAGGTAGAGCTCAAGGATATCTGGGTAGTCGGCAAAATGCTCACGAACGTACTCTTCTGCACTGTCATCTGTGAGTACCTCATGTCGTAGACGTGGGTTCACATCTAGCCAACTGCGAATGTCTTTCTCGCGCTCCTGGTTGATTTTCACTGAACCAGCCTTTTGCCAGAGCTTGAATGGGATTGACGACTGTGTATGGTGATCATAGGAATTTGCAATTGGGAGATAGCTTGGTATCTTGGGTTCTGATATTGGTTTCACAACTTTGATAGCAAGTTCCGATTGGTTTGAGGGTATGATACCGGCACCTGCGGCGACAGTAGCATTGTCATCTACGCTGCAGACGCACGATCCATAAGTAAAGGCAATGCTTGATGGTTGTTTTCCCAAGCTCGATGCAATCCAGAGAAATGAACAAATAAAGAGTAGCAGCAACCCGAGTAGGTAGTGAGACCGTCCCATCTTGAAGACTTTTCGGGAGAAATACGAAGATAAAGTCTTTCGAAAAGGGATTCGACTTTTAAGGGACCAAGTATCTATTTGAGGATTCATTTAGGACCCACACAAGCCTGGCTTTTATTTTCCGAAGTTTCGTGTTTAGGTAGACCAGTATATATTTACAACAGGACTTACGTACATTTTACAGTTCATACCGAAGCCATGCTAATCCCAAAGGCACAGTTTTTATGTCTCGAAGGCTCATTGAAAGTACTCAATTTTATAAAAATTCTCTGAAGCTATATTTAATTTAGATAAGGCATTTGGTCCAATCATATAATTTAATTCAACCACGCTCAAATTTCCCGAATGTTTCAGATATTCACTTAATTATGAGGTAAATGTGAAATAAGCGTAACGTTTTGCTTGGCATAACTCTGTACAATCTGTGTGAAATATGCAAGATCTGAGAGAATGTAATACTTTACATTCATATAAGACGATTTCAGCATTGTGTGAGTGACCCGGCAAAGTGGACGATTAGTCATCTATGACGTCCACGCCAATCTCGGGAGGTCGACAGGGGTGAGCTCCCCCAGTCAACTTTGGAATTTGCATTCACTAAAAATTATGGCTTCCAGAATTGCCCCTCAGATGTTCGGTGCATTCAGAGCTGCTCAGCGGGCCCCCTGGGCTGCGCAGCTGCCTCGTGCGCCCGCTTTCCGTCGCTGCTTCTCGGCCCAGATGGAACAGCCGCGTCTGCGCCTGGGCTCAATTGGTACAGTCTCAACAGTATTGCATTTGTCATATCATGCTAACACAATATAGCCCCAAACTTCAAGGCACTGACCACGCAGGGCGAGATCGACTTCCACGAGTTCATCGGTGATAAGTGGACCATCCTCTTTTCACACCCTGCCGACTTCACGCCCGTATTTCTCACCGATATACTCTATAAAGATACCGAACTAACACATAATTAGGTGTGTACAACCGAATTAGGCGCTTTCGCCCGGCTGAAGAATGAATTCGATGCACGCGGGGTCAAGATGATCGGATTGGTGAGTCCCCACCATTTGTAACGCCTACAGGGCCCTAGCTGATGCACTTGTGTCTCCAGAGTGCCAACGAGCTCGGTTCCCACGACCAGTGGATCAAGGACATCAATGAAGTTGGCTCGACACAAGTCCAATTCCCAATTATCGCCGATGCCGACCGCAAAGTTGCCTTCCTCTACGACATGATCGACCAGGATAGCATCGGGCAGAAGGCCATCGCGTTTACTATTCGCTCCGTGTTTATTATTGACCCGAGCAAGAAGATTCGCCTGACCATGATGTACCCCGCCTCGACGGGCCGAAACTCCGCGGAGGTCCTGCGGGTCATCGACTCCCTGCAGACCGGTGATAAGAAAGGTGTAACTACCCCGATCGACTGGAACGTTGGCGATGATGTCATTGTCCCTCCCACCGTCAGTACCCCGGATGCCCAGAAGAAGTTTGGTGAAGTTCGCGAGGTTAAGCCTTACTTGCGCTATACCAAGATCTAAAGACGTGGTCATGTAAAATATTGGATGAAATCAATTTGGATCAAATGGTGTCGCGTGCTCTATCTACAGTAGTATCTTATGGGGGTACAACATCTGGAGTAATAACGGAATGAACTCTGAAGCGTGAGTCTTGGGAAAAGGGGGCGTCCTGGGGCTGCATGTTTTTTACCACCTTACCCCCTGACACCATGTCTATTTAGGGCAAGGATAATCCGGCCAATTAGGAGGTAGTAAGGCACTTATGTTATAGGCCCAGCCTATCAACATTCTAGGTTTTTGTCAGGCAAGCCTCGGCTATGCAAGCAAATTCACTAGTGGACTTGATCACGAGTCGATCCTCGAACAATTATGACAAGTTCTCATGTTCACTGCGCTGCCAAGTGCAATGTCAGTAGGATCTCGTGACGATCCTCCTCGAATCCAGGAAGGATATGCATTACTCCGAGATGTGCACGCGAGTGTTGCTCCTTCCCTGTTCCTGCAAAGTACTAGTTCCCTATCCGCGGAGTCTGCAGTTTTCTTATAGTCCGCTGGGGGCCCGGGGAGCCAGTTTGTAATGCAGATCCGAATCTGGGGAAAATAATGCACTCATTCTCTTAACTGGCCCAAGTACGATCTTTTCTTATCTGCTCTTTGTTGCGAATCCATCACCATGGCTCCTTGGGCACATTTAGCTCTAGTCTCTCTTTTGACCCCGTTTCTCCTAGCTTCCCCAGTGCCAGGCGAACTTGACTCTACTACACACCTGCACAAGAGAGCAGAAGAAGGCTATGGATCACCTCCATACTATCCCACCCCTCCGGGGGGCTGGATTCCCGACTGGAGTGAAGCCTACTCCAAGGCGCATCATCTCGTCAGTAATATGACGCTGGCTGAAAAAGTCAACCTGACGACAGGCACTGGCTTCTTCATGGGACCTTGTGTAGGGCAGACAGGAAGCGTGCCTCGCCTGGGTGTGCCCAATCTGTGCCTCCAGGACAGTCCTCTGGGAATCCGCAACTCGGACCACAACACTGCCTTCCCACCTGGCATCACAGTTGGCGCAACCTTCAACAAAGATCTCATGTATGAGCGAGGTGTTGGGCTCGGCGAAGAGGCTCGCGGAAAGGGAGTCAACGTGCTGCTCGGGCCATCCGTGGGAGCGCTTGGACGCAAGCCACGCGGTGGACGGAACTGGGAAGGTTTCGGTGCTGATCCCGTTCTCCAGGGCTATGGAGGTGCCCAGACTGTGAAGGGTATGCAGAGCACCGGTGCTATCGCGGCCATCAAGCATTACATTGGCAATGAGCAGGAAATGCACCGCATGAGCAGTGTTGTTACCCAGGGCTATTCGTCAAATATTGACGATCGCACCTTGCACGAGCTGTACCTCTGGCCTTTCGCCGAGGGTGTTCGTGCGGGTGTAGGGTCTTTGATGACAGCTTATTCCGATGTGGGTCTCTTCAATTCTATTCTTTTGTATGTTGCTGACATCTGATAGGTCAATAGCTCTGCGTGCTCTCAGAACAGCAAGTTGCTCAATGATATTCTCAAGGATGAGCTTGGCTTCCAAGGATTTGTGATGACGGATTGGCTGGGTCATTACTCTGGCGTTGCGTCCGCTATAGCTGGTTTGGATATGTCGATGCCTGGCGATGGAGCAGTTCCCTTGTTCGGAGATTCATACTGGGGTTCTGAGCTGTCGCGTTCGATCCTGAATGGAAGTGTCCCGGTAACCCGTCTTAACGATATGGTACGTGATTCTTTATGTGGGAGTTTCCTTCATGTCTAATATACACGTCTAGGTCCAACGTATCGTTGCTACTTGGTATAAATATGGACAGGATAAGGACTATCCCTTACCAAACTTCTCGACCAACACCCAGAACAAGGAGGGCCCGCTTTACCCCGGAGCTCTGTTTTCTCCATCTGGTGTCGTTAATCAGTTTGTCGATGTGAGGCGTAATCACAACATCACTGCGAGGGCTGTCGCACGCGAAGCAATTACTTTGCTAAAGAATGACATGGACATTCTTCCTCTGCACAAGGATGATTCTCTCAAGGTATTTGGCACAGATGCAGGTGGAAATCCAGGCGGTCTCAACTCATGCGCCGACCAAGGATGCAACAAAGGCGTTTTGACCATGGGCTGGGGCAGTGGCACAGCCAGACTGCCCTATCTCATCACACCCGAAGAGGCAATCTCTAATATCTCTAAGAATGCCGAGTTCCACATCACGGACAAATTCCCCTCGGACGTTACCGCCAATGCCGACGATATAGCTCTTGTTTTCATCAGCGCCGATTCAGGCGAAAACTTTATTACAGTCGAAGGGAACCCGGGAGACCGAACTAAAGCGGGACTCAATGCTTGGCACAATGGCGATGATCTCGTCAAAGCAGCAGCAGAGAAGTTTTCCAATGTAGTCGTGATTGTCCACACCGTCGGGCCCATTCTGATGGAAGAGTGGATTGAGCTCAAGTCCGTGAAAGCGGTGGTTGTGGCCCATCTCCCCGGACAAGAAGCTGGAAACTCCCTTACCGATGTCCTTTTTGGTGACTATAGTCCAAGTGGCCACATGCCATACACCATTCCCCGCAGCGAAGACGATTACCCGGATAGCGTGGACTTGATCAACCAACCATTTGGCCAGATTCAGGACACCTATACCGAGGGGCTATACATCGACTACCGTCACTTCATTAAGGCCAACATCACACCTCGGTATCCATTCGGCCACGGTCTCTCCTACACCACCTTCAAGTTCTCCCAGCCTTCGCTGTCAACGGAAACTCCGCTAGACTCAGCCTACCCAGCTGCACGACCCACCAAGCCGTCAACCCCCTCCTACAATACCAGCATCCCGGACCCATCGGAAGTCGCCTGGTCCTCTACTAGCTTCACCCGCATCTGGCGCTACCTCTACCCCTACCTGGACAAGCCACAGTCGATCAATCCGACGAAGAAATACGCCTACCCGGACGGCTATAGCACCGAGCCGCATGCAATCCCCCGGGCCGGAGGCGGCGAGGGCGGGAATCCCGCTCTCTTCGAAACCGTATTCTCGGTCCAGGTGGAGGTCCGGAACACGGGTAAACGAACCGGCAAGGCTGTCGCCCAGCTGTATGTTGAACTTCCATCTAGTCTAGCACTTGACACGCCGGCCTTGCAGCTCCGACAGTTTGAGAAGACACAGGAGCTTGCGTCTGGACAGAGTGAGACGGTTACACTGCATCTTACTCGGAAGGATGTTAGTGTTTGGGATGTTGTGGTACAGGATTGGAAGGCTCCTGTTAATGGACAGGGCATTAAGATCTGGGTTGGTAATAGTGTTTCTGATCTACCTGTTCTCTGTGTTGTCGGGGGAAAGTGTTCGGCTAAATAAGGGAGCGCTGATGCTTTTAGATAACTGGGCTCACTTGTTTTGCTTGTCTGTATTGACTTCTTGTTTAATTCCGTTTTAAATATATTGCCATGCTTTACATATTTTTATGCGAATAATATTGATCCATCTGCTTGCTATGATTCGACTCTTGAATTTTGTACAATCTGACGTAGCAAGATATGAGTCTAAACCCATGCAACAGTGGGTCGCCTAGTACTTTTATGCATCTTTAACCTTAATTCAGCGTCCTACCCTCTTGTCCTCCGTCGGATTGTATCAACCCCTATGCTTCCTATAAAATTTACAGAAATAGAGAACAGATAACATCACATAACCTAAATACATTGCCAAGAATCTATACACTAACGTTCTCAACGACCGGCGTCTTCTCCACATTCAGTCCCGTCTTAGTCTCAACATGCTCCTTTTTCAGCTTAGTCTTGAGAATAAAAGCCGAAAAGCAGACACCAACAGCAGACATGCACGTGTAAAGAATCCACATGTTCCTCAGACTCCAAGCGAAAGCCTCCCTAACAGCAAGCAGCTGCTCTGGATCGGTGATGAATTTGATCGACTCGATACTGGCAGCAGCCGAGTCCCCAGACATCTGAGCCGCCATGCTGGTCGACATACCGGAAGCCAACAGGCTGGACTGCTTCTGGCTCATACTATTCTGGAAGACAACACCGCCGATCACAATGGAAGCCGCGGTTGCCATGTTGCGAATGAAGCCAATGGTTGCCGTGGCGGTGGCAGTGTCCTCCTGGGAGACCATGGCCTGGATGGCGATAATGGGTGTTTGGAAGAGGAATCCGGCACCTAGACCGCTGATGATCTGGTACCCGACGATCTTGCCGACGGATGATCCCACGCCGAGGTTGATGTACAGCCCGTTACCGATGGTCATTAGTACCAGGCCGGTCCAGACGAGTTCTAGGTATCGACCTGTGCGGTGGATGATTGCGCCGGCAATCATGCCGGAGCATGCTTCCATCACGACAAGCGGGAGAATGAGGACACCGGAGCCCATTGGTGACGAGCCGTGCACAGACTGTAGGTAGAGGGGGATGTAATATTCCCCGGCGATGAAGACCTAAAGGGTTTGTTAGTGGTCTCAAAATAATCAATGAAATGAAGATACTAACAAAGCCATGCGCAAATGCTACCAGCAAGGTAGCAATGTTAGAGGATCGAGCGAAGATATCCATAGGCATCAAGGGATACTTGGCTAGTTTCTTCTCGCTGTAGACGAACAGCAAGGAACATAGAGATCCAAAGACAATCAGACAGATGACCTGTGGTGAGCTCCAGGCAAATGTCTCTCCGCCAAAGTCCAATCCCAACAGAAGCATGAGAGTAAGGCCCAGGACAGAGACACTGCCGAACCAGTCGATGGCGCGGACGCCATCCATGATTTTCGTCTGGGGGTTGTGTACATCCAAGAAGAAGAAAAGAAGCACAAAGGTCATCCCAGAGATCGGAAGATTGATCCAGTAAGTCCATCTCCAAGTGACATACTGGCTGAATGCACCGCCGAGCAACGGTCCAACACCACCAGCAAAAGCCCACATGACCTCCATCAGGCCGAGATATAAACTGCGGTGTCTGTCACAACAGTTAGTAAAAGCCTCTATGTCAATTCTAAACAACCAAAAGTAGCCCTGCTACCCAAGGTATCTTACCTGACACTGAATAAATCAGAAATAATAATTGTAACCAGCTGGAGCAAACCACCACCAGCAACACCCTGCAGCGCCCGACCCGCAATCAACATCTCCATACTAGTAGCAGCAGCGCAAAGAATCGAGCTGAGGAAAAACCACGCAACAGCCAAAAGCAAGATGGGCTTCCGGCCCCAGATATCAGAAAGCTTGGCCCAGATACATGCGCTTGCAGCAGAACTGAGAAGGTACGCTCCGCCAATCCACGTGTACCCAGCAGAGGAGTGGAAGTAGGCGGCGATTGTTGGGATCGCCGTAGCCATGATCGTTTGATCTAGCGCGGCGATAAACATCGCCAACTAGTGGAATTTAGTAGGTGGATATTAATATGCGGGTTGTATTTGTCTTACTGCAAGCGCTACCATAATTGCGGTAACCTGAATCGTGCTTCGCCCTTTGGGCGGAGCTTCCTGGATTTCCATTGAAGCTGCCATAAGAAGATCTGGAGTTTGACGATTTTCGATTTTTGAATGTGAAGGCTTGAAAATATTTTTCTCCCCGCATCCGTTTTGTGGGGCGGTTGGGGCTCATCTGTCCTGGCTACATAGGTACCAATAGAGAAATGGACATGTTTATGAGATGGATGATACTTGTATTGAACGAGGGCGTGGTATTAGTGAATATTTCCTTCAAGACCAATTCTTACATCCCTTGGATTTGAATGAATCCGCCTCACAGTTCAATTAGTACATGCATGTACCGATTCAATGCCAACGGAAGCGATAATTTCTTTAAAGAAGAGCCTCCCAGTAAAAGAATGATCAAAACGCCCCCCAAATCCAATCTGAACCAAACTGTTAATCCACCCTCCGACCAACCGTGACCCCAAAATTAACCAGCGCTGTCGCAGACTCACAATGAGCCTCAAACTCGCGCACCAATCCCTCAACAATCACACGTGCCTGATCAGTATCGTCAGCTTGACCAGTAACAACCATCGAAGGTGGCACCAGGGCACGCATCACACCAGCGACCCATTTCTGCGCGATAGGCCGCATATGCTTCTTCCCATCAGTAGTATAAGTCTCACGGACGACGTCGATGAACCCATTCGCCGAGATCTCTTCGTACACACGTTTTGGAGCGAAGGGCCACAGGCCGAGTTTCAGCATCGCTTCGATCACGGATTCCCGCAGCCGGGTTATCGCTGCTGGCTCTGGGACTGCATCTGTGCAGAAAGCTGTGTGGTCGACTTCTTCCCATTGGATCCAGCCGTTTGGTTCTGCGGTTGTTAGTTGGGAGTTCAATGTTGAGAGTATATTGTAGATGTTTTGATGGGGGGAAGAGGGAAGAAAATTGGAAGGACGGGAAGACATACTTAGTAAGGCTCGCGCATTGGCAACGACTCGTGCATAATCGCCTTGCTTGAGGCCTGCGGTTAGGAGTCGGATGTGCACGAGGTCATATCGGCCACAGTGCTCTGTTGGGAATGGGTGAAGTACGTCGTGGACGCTTAGTGGGATTGGGGTTTGACCAGGTCGTGGGATCTCGTGGCCGCGTGGGTATTGTGCGGATGAAATGTCGAAGCCGTGGAGGTAGACTGATTTGTTGGGAAGCAGGTTGGCGACATCTTCGAGCCAGACACTATGGTGGATTAGCTTCTGTGTAACGGTGTTTGGCTCCAATTTGAAAAAAAAAATGGAAATGAAAAAATTTGCCGGAAAAAAAACCTACCCCGTGCCAGTACCTAAATCGGCGACAGCTGTAATGTCTCTTGGAATAGATGGATGGATGAGATTGGATAGATCAACGAGAAAACGATGCTGACTATTGAGGCTGTTGAATGTTAGCAAAACCCAAAACTGCGGAACCGAACTGTCGGGTCCTGCAGGCTGACAACTGGGGATATCCGGGGATGGGCATATATGGGGGGATATTAAACATCTTTTTTTAAGATCTTCATATTTCTGAAATGTTTTGGGAGGTTTGAAGATGTGACAGGGAAATAATTTCAAGATGGGACGCGAAAAAGTCACAGACTTTGGAACATACCGTTTAGTCTCGGCCTCATCTCGACCTAGCAGGTAAATTTGATCAGGGATTCCCATATTGACCAAGGTCCAAAGAAGGCTGGAAAGGCTGGAAAGAATTTTCTGAAATGGAGAACAATTCATTTCGGGATATAAGGGAAAGTGGAAACGCAAATGGGTCTCTGTCAAGACCTTCTTATATTCAATTATCGCTCATGTACTTGATCTAAATCTCAAATATCTAAACATCAAATCTACCAAATCCGCAATCTCCATGCCAGCACACAAAGAAAAAAAAAAAAGGTCTAGTCCCGATCCCCATGCCAAGAACAACCATCACAACTAAATCTAGCCACGATCAAACACAGAATTGATCTATCCGATACTCTTTTTGATCTGAGATTGGATTGGACCAGGTGATTGGGGCTCTACCTAGTGCCTTGTCGAACAAAGCCGGCATCATGCGTGCAAGCCCCCATTCGGCCTAGAACCGACCTTCTTCCAGGCTACATCCTTGCCATACATCAAATACATCAAACTCAGAACCAGCCAATCTCCAAATAATATTGAACTTCCTAGGTGGGGTATTTATACGAGACACGGATAGTGGAATTATGAATTGGAAATGAAACAGTCTCCAGGCGACGTCGTATATGGGAAGAGTGTACTCTAACGCCTGGCTCCCAGGGGCAAACGATCTACTTGTGGGGGGTACGGATTGGGGTGTAACAATATGGCGGAGTAGGGGGAAGCGCTGAGATCGTCTGCGCTTGTCTTTCCCTTTATGGCATGAGACGTCAACTGGGAAGACGATAGCCAATTGAGTCTACTATCTGGGAAAGATACATATCAAATGCAAGCCAGAGTTATATTTTTACAAAATGAAACCCCCAAAAAAAAGAGAGAGAGGCGCTTAAGACTTATCCACCAAATTAGCAAACACATACCGGAAAATCTCCCGGCTCTTATACAGATTTTCCACTCGCATGCGCTCGTTATCCAAGTGGGCGTTGTCACTCGCCTGTCCACAAGGCAAGTTAGCCGCCGGGGCCGAAAACTCCTTTTCCAGGAACCGGATTGTCGGGATGGATCCGCCCTCACGGATGAACATTGGTTTCACTTTAGCTACACCAGACGCAGCGGCTGTCCCATTTGTCGTGGGGGTGCTGACCTCCGGATCAGGCTTGGTTCGAATTGGCAATGCGACTGACTCCTCGGTCGACGTGGGCGTCGCTTGTGTAAGGGTAGAGGACGTTGGCACTGTGGCGGCTGTTTGCGACGACCGTTTGCGCGCGGCTTCCTTGCCTGCCGATGAGGTCGTTGTCGATGTGATTACCCGCTCAACATGTGAGGCCAGACTGTCGTCGGAGTCTTTGCGGCGGAGTTCGGGGATGGGGCCTGCGCTGGGTTTGGGCTTGGTCACTGGGCGAGTGTTGGAGGATTGCGGGATAGGCGGGTATTCGCGTTTCGGGTCCTCTTGGGCCGGGGTCCACGCTGCGGTGATCGCCTCTGACAGCGTGGCGAAAATTTCGTTATCTGGGTCTCCGAGCCAGGCGTCAGATTTCCCGGTGATTTCGACTGTGAGGTCGTTTTGTGAGTCGAGCAGCGCGAATTGCTCTTGCGCATAAGCGGTGAGGTTGGCTGCGACTTCGTCGGCGTGCTGATCCGGTACAATACGGATCGATAGGGTTGCTTTGGCTCGGCGCGCGATGGTCGTTGCACTCTTGGTTCCAGGGACTTCCACCGAGTGGACGGTCAAGGCGGGTTCGCGCCAGCGATGCATCAACGACTTGATCAGCGCCTGGCTGTCGGGGATCTCTGGGTGCTGCAAAAGCAATACATCGGCAATGGCCTCGAACCGCTTCTGCTCAGCGTCCGTGAGAGGCCTAACAGCATCGTGGAAGCCAGGCAGATTGATTTTGCCTTTGCGTCCCACGATTGTGGACAGGAGCATGGCAATATCCTTGACTGGTTCATCTAGCAATGTACTGCCGTCGATACCACTGTGGAGATCAGGATGGTCGCTTGTAACCACCAGATTGGCATGCACAACACCGCGTAGCCCGTAAGTTAGGCACGGGTTGTAGTCGTCAAGCCAGTAACTGTTGGCCAGTAGAACCCAGTCCACGGATCCGATCTGAGCCTTGTGCTCGCGAACCGTTTCGTGGAAACCTTGAGACCCGGACTCTTCCTCGCCCTCGATGAGGAAAACGACGTTGCATCGCAAGGTCTTCGTCCGGGCGAGATCGGCTGCGGCATACAATGACGCCAGAATGGGCCCCTTGTTATCAGACACACCACGGCCGTACAAAAATCCGTTAATAGAAGTGAGCTGATAAGGATCTGTCCTCCACTTGGGTCGGTTTGTCTGTGCGCCCACGACGTCATAGTGGCCATAGAAGAGGATGGTCTTGTCAACCTTGTTAGGTGAGGTAGCGTTAAATCTAGCAAAAACAATGGGATTGGTGTCCTGGCCAGTAGTCAGGAGCTTGGTCTTGGCGCCGAGGTAGTTGCAGTGCCGCCGAAGGAACGCAGCACCCTGGTTGCATTCGCCAGCGAATTTGGGACTTGCGGAGATAGTCTTGAAAGAGACGAACTTTGCAAGACTGTTGACCATTTCATCTGGGTAAAATTTAGTGGGTTTTCGACGCGAATAGCATGTGTGGGACGTACCATTGCTGATTGGAGGCAGCTCTTCCTGGGTCATGAAGAATTCAGTCAGATCCCAGATTCCTACCGAGTTGTCATTTCCACCAGTGGCGTAGATCTGGCGATCTTTGAATCGTCCGGCAGCTGAGGCGAGCATGGTGCCCTCATGGGCAACCCAGCCACCGACCTCTTCGAACCGGGAGTTGAATTTCTACCAGTGGTCAGCTAAAGTCGATTCGAAGGCGACAAAAATCTAGATCAGTGCATACCTTGACCGTTCCACTAGAGTCACCACAGATAGCGACACCCTGGATGACGTGCACAGCCCACAGATCCCCAGTATGTCTAGTGATCCGCTTAACGAGCTGCTGAGAGTCCAAATTCCAAATGTTAAGAGCGCCGCCAGCCAAACCACAGTAGAGTAGCGATCCCTCAACGGCGATAGTCAGCACAGGGTCTCCATTCTGTAGCTTGGCAATTTGGGATGGAGCCGCGCCAGGATCCTGACCCAGACGCCACAGCTTCACCACACCATCGCCCGCACCAGTCAAAAGAACCTCCTCGGAAGGAGCAGTCTCGACTAGGCCCTTGACTAGGAGCATGGAGTAGACGTAGCCATGATGCGCGAAGAGCTTGTGGTGGTCGCGCTTGAAGCTCAACACACGACCACCGTCAGAGAGGGCACCATCTGATGATCCTGGGGCGCGAGTACCGTCCGGCCCTCTGGAATCGAAGAAGCGATGTGTCCGCTTGGATGGATGCGCAGACGATGCTTGGTTCAATGTTGACCCTTCCTCGGAGAGATCACACCACTGTCCGAGTTAGAAGGTCGCTAAATAGGGGGCGCATACAAGGGTCAAGTACCTGTATACTTGTATTCTGCGCACCACAGTAAAGAGTCTGGTTATGCGATGAATAGACTACTGTAAATATATCGCCCACGTCGTGGTGTGAATAAATCGAGTAGAGACGTTCAAATGTGCGCGTGGACCACACCTGTCCACGTCATTAATCTCGGTTTCGTGATATTCTTCATTTCTATGACTCACATTGACCACAGAGTCGCCCCCGCTTGAAAATAGTAGATTTCCATCTTCAGAGAGATATAGGCCTAGCACACTCTCTTTGTGTGCGTGGACGGACACCACGAGATCATAAGTTTCAAGGGACCACGCCTGTTGAAACGGTCAGCCACGAGCCTTGGCAATTGAAGAACATTGTACATTGTGAAAGAAGAATCAAAATCAACTTACAACAATATCTCCTCCTTGCAGACCAGCAAAAACACACTGTTCATCAATGGCCAGAGCGAGAACGGAGCGACTGGCGAGCACGCGGTGGCCGATGCCGCAGTCACTATTTGGAAGGGCACTGGGATCTTGTGTATGAGAATCAGATTCCCAAGTTTTCTGATCCTCCTCAGAAATGCTCTCTGATTCGACTAAATCCATGATCAGTCTAATCTGCTCAATGGTTTGCAATGGCTTGCAATAGTTCGTAGTGGAGAGTGAAGTGATGTTGGTGTTCTCGGATGCTCTCCGCTTCAAATCAACCAAACAGAACACTGGAAATCTCCCGAATTCACTCCATTCTGTTTTTGAGGTTGTAGAACTTCAATGTTTTTTTTAAACAAAATGAAGGAATATGAATCGTCGAGGCGGTACGGGGGAAAAAAAGGCAATAAAAACAATAACAAGATATTGCACCATCGATAAAATATTTGACTCACCATCCCTAGCATCCCTTTTATCTAAGCAACAAGTCCTTCTATACAAATAATCAGCTATTGGATTAATTTATTTTCGTTTGTCTATGGCACGGTCGCGTGTCCATTCATTGGGGTCGAATATTCTTGCAATTCATAACTATGAGACGTACCTTGGCTCCCACAACAGGCGTGCTAAGGGGGTACTGGGGCGACGGCCGACCATAATATAGGGATTTAGGATAGATTAAGGATAGATCCAGAATAGAATCAGGTTGAGTGAGTTTGGAATTTCAATGAAAATAGTCCAATATGGAAAAGACAATGAAGCGCACACCGATGTTGATCTGCACTCCAATCTTGAAATCTCAGACGCTCGTTATTGATAAGGGAGAAAGATACCTACATGTACTCCGTAGGACTAGACTCTGCCCGAGACCTACTGGGCACAACCCCTGATGGCTTTCATCCTTCAGTTCTGGACCAGAAACACTGGCCTGCAGGTGTCCATCTGTGATCAATGTGTCCAGGCACCCTTGAAAACTCGGGATCGAGTGATACAACAGTAATGGCGCCATTTTGGTCTTGAAATCATCATTTTCGGAAGTATACTCCCAATAAGTAGATACACAATATATATCCCTGGAGAAAAGAAAGAAATAAGTCTCCGAAATTATCCATGCTCACATGTTCAAGCCCCAGCACCGCCACAGATGGCTGAGATGACTGACTTTGTATGGCACCAGCCACAGTGGCGGTGACCCCGTCAGCCAATCAAATGTCAAATGTC